CCCCCCCCCCCCCAATCTTAGGTTCTTCGCGCGGTCCGTGCATATAAATTGCCAGTTACCCCATGTCGCACAAACCGATCGAGAAATTCCGGTTAGCCGCGGTTATGTAAGCTATTTTAGGGACTTTACAGTGTAAAAGCCGACGGTTAACCGGACAAGTAGTCGGTTTGCCCTCAATTAACCGGTTATTTATCCGGTTAACCGTCGGTTTTTACACTGTAAAGTCGCTAAAATAACCTACATAACCGCGGTTAAGCGGTGGTTTTCGATCGGTTGACGCGATATAGGGCAGGTCAAAGTAAACTTTTCTAATGCATGTGATAGATATACGCATAGATATAGATCATTGTATTTTATTTAGCGATATATGTTGATGAAAAAATTTGCTACCGAATGCTTGAGTGAGACCGGCTTCCTGTTAGGCTGTTTCTAAAGAGTATACGAATACAATATCGAATCATCAAAGCGTATTCAGTCGCTTATTCAGTCTGCAATAAGATATTTTATGGTGAAATTTTGAATCCTATGAAACTTACCAAAATTTAATGTAAATAAATTAACAATTTAAGCTTATAGAATGAAATTATCGGCTACCGTAGAAAAGCACATAATTCCCTACAATACTTGTATATTTGTATCTAGAAGAAATATACTTAGTCGAAAACTTTCGTTCCATGACTTATTGAAATAATGTCATGATATTGAATAAAAACCAAATATTTTGATTTTTGTTACAGCTGTTCACCTTTTTATAAAATGTTTTTCGATAATTGTGAATTAGCAAATTTTCCTGTGCCTACTAGAATCTAGATGATACGATGAATATGACCACGATGATTGATCAGAATCTTTGTATTGGCACATAATATGATTATATTCATAAGCTATAAATTGAAATTACCATTCCTGTATAGAAATCATCTGGATGTCAGAGACCATCTCAACCATGAATTTATCAAAATTTTTCTCTATTGACAGAGTACATTTTCAGTGTTTGCTATCATAATTCCCTAAAATCCTTACAACATTGTCATAGTATCAACGAAAAGAATTTGAATTATTTCATTTAAGTTATTAGTGCAAAAAAAGCAATTGATCATAAGAATATTTATTACATTTTAGAGAACATTGTCAATGAGAACAAAAACAAATTCATCATACTGATGTGTACAGTAGTCACTCGAAAGTTGATTGTTTCTATATTTTCATATTGCTTAAAATGATTTATAAAGAGATGTTGTTTCAAGTTCAAAGATAGTATGAATATTTGTACCTAAAGCTAACGCAGCTCGAGCAAGTTGAGTTGTCGAATAATACATTGCCGATATTCCAATTATAATACTATCAAATGTATCATTTTCAACATAAGGTATAAATTTTGTGGGTGATTCACCTTGAGTCAAGCTATCAAGATAATTTTCCAATATTCCGTCAAGTGAACTTTGATGTTGAATTTGAAGACGATGAATAGTATGATGAAGTTCAATGAGGCATTGCTCATGTTTTAAAAGATCGCTCTCATTCAATTTTGTACGACTAAAAGTACAATCACGAAACATTCGATAGAAACGTGTTTGAGTAAGAGCAAAATAAGATGACCATAGAGCAACACAATCATTTAATTGTCGACTTAAATTAGCAACTTCAACATGAAGATCGTGTGGAAAGAAACGACCAGCAGCATACATTTGAAGATTAATAATATGATTTCTATCATGATCAGTACATTCATCGATACGCATCAACTAAATTACAAATAAAAATAGATTATTTTAAAGACTTTTATTCTACCTACGATTGCATCAATATTATGTAACATTCGAAACATATCAACTTGTTGTTGAACAAGTGTCTCATAACGAGCAGTAGAGAACGTATTGTGAAACCACCATAGAGTTGGCTCTAAGGCAACATGCCCAACAAGGGCTCTTTGACTACTAATCAATTGGTGAAAACGACTTCTTTGAGTATCAATAAATGATTTAACTTCTTGTTCGTTTTGTTTCTCAACATTTATTATACCTATATCTGAATTGTCGTCCGGTAAAAATTGGTCATAGATTGATTGCATTGATGTTACACTCTGACGACAAAGCTCAAGAGTGCCTATAGTAATACAAGAACGAAACAGAATTCATACTAAATAAATTGTATTTATTTACCCTGAATATTGTTTTTTAGGATATCAATAGCAAAAACTGGAAAAATGACGATGGTGAGTACAATAGCAATAGTAATACCAACAAGATTCTCTTCGATCCGAAGAAGAGCATAGTTACCTCCTGGCATTGTATCTCCATATGGTATTCGACCAAGATTGATCAAAACTGGAGTGAAAGCAGCTACTACAGCGGTATAACCCCATTCAGGTAAAGATCTCAAATAACCAAAGATAAATATCCATGGAACTAACATTCCCATTGTATTATAGACATGATCATTGGCTGATAAATAGGTTACATATGCCCACATTGCACCTATGTAATGATAAGACAAAAATTAAATACATTATCATAAAAAATTGATCATATTATTAAAAACAACTTACCGAGTAGCGTTCCAACTAATCTCATTTTCATTGTAGTTAATGCTCCCCCTACTGTATCACCTTGAGTCATGCAAAGAGCAATTAAAATCCATTGTCCATTTTCAAATGTTGCTGCCAAACGAGGTACCATGACAAATATTGAGCCTACTCCAATTATTACGACACTTTTTAAAGCTTGTAAAACTCGTGGCCATTGTGGTTTTAACATTTCTTTTATACTTCGTCTCTTCTTGTTCTGCTTTTGTTTAAATGTATCTTTGATTTCTTGAAAAAAGGTCTTATTCGGATCAGTTACTGTGGCCTGTATCACGAGTCGTACAATAGCATCAAGTTGAAAAAGAAAGAAAGTATGTGAAAGATAATCTTCCGATCGAATTTGTTTTGCAGATTCCAATACATGTTCAACTTGATGAAGACGTGCGTTTATTGAGGCCCTACGAAGCGAATCAAGAGCTTGTTGTAATTCATTCAGGCGAACATTAAATTCATCTCGAGTAATTACTGTAGGCGTCATTAAACTTGAAACAATCGTTGCTTGACATGAGCTAAGATGAAGAAGACTCATTTGAAGTTCACTTGTAAAATGACTATGATATTCATTGAAATGACATTGTTTAACCATTAATTCCAGTGAACATACATGAAACATCAATGCACTAATTAAGTCTATTTGTTCTACGAAAAAAAAACGAAAAGATTTCTGTATTTTGTTTTTAAATTCGAAAAAAAATCAGATTACCTTGTAATTTAAGATCGATGAGATGTCTTCGTCTTCGATTAAAAATTCTTTGCAAACATCGTGATGGTTCCATACGGGTTTCATTCAGTCTTGTATGCATTAAAGTCATTGTTGAACGTACCATTTGTTCGATAGTTGATGCTCGAGCCAGTGCTGCTTGTGCACTCATTTGATCTGTACTTAAGAATGCTTGAATCACAATACTTTCCATTTGTTGTAAATTTGTTAGACAATAACTAACACGATTTTCAATATCAAACGTAGCAAAAAGAGGAAAGATCAACATAGATACAAAAAGACCAACGAATATTCCAATGGCGAATTGTTCAAGTAGAATAAAAATGAATGTCGATGGAAGACCAGGTTGATTTACAATCGTTGAAAAAAATATAGTACTAATTAATAGTGCAATTTTTCGAGTTTGAACCTTAATAATAATAATAACATTGTTAATCGAAAATTGGATATAATTTAATTTTTTTTACTTATGATGAAACTTTTACCTGTGAACATTTATAGGCAATAAAAAATGATGAAATAAGTAGTATTAATTCAGCTGCAAGATAATCTTTGTATCCCAGACCAATCTTTTGAAGTACGTATAGAAAAATTGAAAGAGGCGTAATGGCTGTCAGTATTTGGTAGCAAGTTAATACTGTCATTCCAAATGTTTCTTGTATGCCTAAAATACACATGACCGGAACTAGATATTGTGTTGCTGATTGGTCACTTAGTGAAGTTCCATAAACTAAAAATCCACCGACAAGAAATGAAATAGTTATTCGAATAGCATATTGAACACGTCGAGTAAATGCTGACGACGTTAAATATAAGGGTGAGCTATTGTAATGATAATTAAAATAAAAACGGCTGATTGCTTGAAATATTTTCCAAATTTGCATTTTAAATTGATTCATATGTTTTGCATAGCAAAGCCTACTTTGCTATACACAACTTTTGTATTAATCGCGAACTGAAAGGAAAAAAGAGCGAACTAAAAAAGCATCATTTCACATCTATCAGAAGGAAACAATGTTTATCATACACCTGGCGATGATTTGCTTCAGTAGTCTTCATGACGCATCTATTGATAATACATTGCGATTATAAGTTCATTCAAGGACTATTTTGACGAATTGAATGGAAATTCAATGTGTTTCACTTCAAATTCGACGGGTTTGGTGTTTATTTATCATCAAGTAAAGCACATGCTGTTGAATTTTTTCTTCTACAAAGTGAATCATTTGAAATATTGACGTCTTATTCAACATTTTAGAGAATGAATACTTTTTAGAATTATTACTTGAATAGAAGTTTATGATTATAATTCAAAGCATAATTTTTATATTTTTATGAAGAAAAATACAATGTACGAACGAAATTTTATAGTCAATTTTTCAACATTTAGCGTTTAAATTGTTTCAACCTTCCTACTATATGTACATAGTTGAATAGTGCAACTTTTACTAGTACATAAAAATAACCGAGGGTCATATTTCTAACAGTATTTAAACAAATATGTTTTACGTGCATACCGTTTCGCTCGAAGTAAGTAAATTAGATGGAAACTTTAAGCAGACTGACACGAATATGTATGTATATAACGGTCGTTTATCTTTAGGAGCTTTATTTTAGTAACATGGGTATGATTTATATTCGATAATTAAACTTTTCTATGAATACTTTATAATTCGATCTTTCACTAATAGATGAGATGCTACAGTAAATGTCGATGCATGATTCAATAGGATTCACCTTTATGCTTTTCATGCGTTTGCTCTCGCAGGACAAAATGCAACATAGTACACAGGTCATCGCTGCGTTTGACCTGTAATACCTAGTTCCTTGTTATGTATCTGTTTTGTACGCGTTGCTTTTACTTCTGTTCTTATTTTCATCGTTTAAATAAATCAAGATTAGAACAGAGTCATAGCTTCATATATCATGATAAAACTATTACATGCTTGACTGATTTTTAATTTTTAATTTTTAAGCGTAATCGATTATATATGTCAAAACCGAAATCAATAGTCATTTTTAGCGCGGATGATTATTTTTTAATTTTTAAGCTAGTAATGTTCTCTAAAAAAGTTATTTTGATATTAAATAAGAATGGCAATAAAATGAGCGAAAGAAAATATGTCGAATACTAAATGTCGAACACAATAATAGCGAAAAATAAAACGTCGATCGTGTAAAAATAGCGAAGAGTATATTCTTCCATAAATTTTGTTTTTGAATTTTGAAATTCAGTCAGTGATATTTTATTCCTTCGTTTTCTTGTGTTATCTATTTTCACTGGCTAGCGTTTTTCGTTAATAGTGTATCATCGTGCAATCTAGCTAGCGGAATAAACACAAAGGACACAAAAGATATAACGAAATAAAGATACGCCATACCTTATTTTTTTACATTGCATATCACTTGTTGTTAATTCAGTATAAATTTCGATGACATCGAATACAAGCAGCGTATCGTTTACCATCTCTAATAAAGGCAATCCTATGATAACTTTAAACGATTTTATATATCGAATAGAAAAAAGAAAGTATTAAAAAAGCTTGTTAGCGCAGCCCCTTTGGGGCTAAAATGTGGAACTCACATATATCCCTTCGGCTTACTAAAATAATTCAAAACAATTCATCTGAAAAATCTACCCTGATTTCCAAAACCTATAATTAGATCATTCCCTATTTGCGCTTATGTCTGTAATTGAGTATTAATTGTTAGCTCGTATATTTAACAAAAGCAGAGACTGGTTGCTATGGTCTGTAATGGTACCCTAAGCTAGTTACTATGGTCTGTAATGGTACCATACGCTCGTTACTATGGTCTGTAATGGGCAAACATTGATTTTTTCGTGTAGTCTGTAATTGAAAAAGGAAGAAATAGCCGCCTATTTAGTCAAGCTCCTAATTAGTACAATTTAAAACTCATTAATGTCTGTAATGGGGAGGGGCGGGGGTGGGGAGCCGCAAAAATCTCGCCTTTAAACTTACACTCACCATTTTCTTCGAAAATATATGTGAGTTCCACAAAAAGGCATGCATTTAATGTAATATCTAAAAATATTGGATTTGTGGAAAAAATGGATGTAATGCGTATATACATACAAATATACAGATGCTTTTTCGAAATAGATGCTGATCAATTATTAGATGGCTTCTCACTCACCATAGCCAAACAAAAGAAATAAACTTATACATAAAGAAATATTTTCTTTTTATTAATTTTATAACTAATTATGCTTGATTCATTTCCGTTTTTGATATACTTAAAATTTTATCGGGCAATATAAAATCTTCATCTTAACAGTCTAAAAATATTAAAATAAATTTTTTCGCTATTTTTCCCATCGGCATTTTTTCCTTCGACATTTTTTCTTTCGCTCTTTTTTATTCGCTCATTGTTCTTTCTCTCATTTTGATACATACCTTAAATAATTGTTTATATTGTATGCTAGATGATACATATACCCAGGAGAATGAATCCTAGCCTAGGATCCGATGAGTTCTGATCGGTTCCTATTGGAATCCGACGGAGCTCTTCGGAAGGCGCAAGGAAACTATCGGATTATCGTCGGATTCCTGGTTCCGGAATCGATATCGGATCCTAATATCGGAAACTAATAAAATCCGACAGTAACCGTCAATCGGAACCGGAATGCTTCGGATTTCATTGGTTCCGACAATCGGATATCATTGGAAATACGACTGTCGGATTCGACATTGATTCCTCAACCAGGAATCCAACGGGATTTCGTCGGATGGCAGGACGCCATAGAATCCGATGGGATTCGGTATCGGATTGATTCACCTGGGTACGTCGTCATGCCTTGTGATGACTGTATGAAATCGATGTTTTACTGTTTAAAAATAGATATCTCCAACAACAAATACTGAAAACTCATTGAAATAGTATTTTTTCAGTATTTTAATTAATTTCTTGTAAAAGTATCGGAACCATTTCTAAATGTTAGAAATGTAAACATTTGAAGATATGACGAAGTTTTGCGGTAACGACGAAAGAAGAACATTTCAGCCATAACAATTTACAAAAAAAACACAAGTTCGGCTCATCCTTTTCTGAAATCCTATTAAGAAAATATATTGCTAATTTTAACATTAAAAAATCTGTATTATCTGTGCTATTAAAACACACAAATTATGCTAGGAACATAAAAAAATCATGTAGTTTGTTGAACTATCTGAAATTAAAAAGTATTTAGGAAGTTAGCATAACAAAAGAACTAACATCAATCAATTAAATAGTCATTAACATATTTTGTGTGAAAAGCAAAATACATAATTTCCGATCAAAAATTAGTACACGTTTTTAATAGCTATTGTTTTGAAGTCTAGAGGGAATCAGCATTTTTCATTTGGCTTCAAAGTCTGATTCTTACAAATACTGTTCAATCACCTGTATATCACCGAATAATTTACATTTAATCATTATATAGCTTTTATTCTTTCAATTTCTATAAAAATCATTACAATAATTAGAATCATTTTTATATTGGAATTACATGTTTCTTCTTGAATATTTTCTATCAATAAGGCAAAAGTTCATTCAAAATTATTTATTGCTTCGTTTCATTTCATTCAAGTATATTATCTTTCACAATTGATATTTTTATTTATACTATTTCAACAAACAAATACAAAAAAATACTACGATCAAGCTAGATTAAATTCAACTAACATGAAATCAACGAATAAGTTCACGATAAATCTCGTCTTCAAATTTCTTCATATTCAAAGACCATTACCGTTGGTTATTGGATACTTTTGTACATCATGAGTTTCATTGTTGATCAAAACACGTTGCTCTAATGCTGAATATTGCCCAGCAACAAATCCTGAAATAGATAAAGCTGCACAAGCAAAAATAATGGCCCCCATCATTGCACGCGAACAATGATAATTAAGTAAATCTATTGAACCATAATCAGCCAAACCAACAGTCATTAGGACACAACCAACAAAAATTAATAATGGAGTAATTAATCGACGATTGGTTATTTTTGGAATATCAACAACCGAAAATATACCACCAACCAATAAAGATACAATGCCCAACAAACAAACGATGAATATTCGTGCCAAAAAATTATCAACGCATGCTCCATCACTTTCACACTCTTTAAATAGACCCTGAATATACAAAAAAAGAAACAATTGAAAATGAAAAGTCATTGAAATTTCTTTTCTTTGTCTCTAATGTCAGAATTTAGTTTTAATTACATACTTTCCAACCATAACTATTGGATTGTGTATCGTTTGTATTTGTGTCATTAGGAAGTTCATTATCAGAATCTTTATATGTCCAGTAGTTTAAAGTAAGTGCGAAAACACCAAGTGCAACACCGAGAAATGCAAACACAGCAGCCAATGGAGCCAATCGACGATCCAGTGATTTAAAAGTCATGATTGTGTCTGGTGTTGTCTAACTAGTGATGTATTTCAACGTAAATAAGTATGTCAAGAAGTAGATATGAACTAGAAAATAGATATACGTATTTACTTATACGAAGAAAGCAAAGAACGAAAGAGCGAAGATAGTTTTTTCTTCTAGAAAAAAATATGCACGCGTCTATACATAAACTATTCTTCATGTATGAACTCGATATCTAGGATATATTATAGAGATAACAATGGAATAAGGCAATTATGCGGTTAACCGTTTTCCTCTATACTATACTAACTTATTTGTCAGACTAAAATAATGAATGCATACTTAGTGGAGATAGAATAAAACATGCTTATGAATAGTCTTAAATTTCTTAAAATGTTCTTTTTTGATTCCAAAAAATAATAATTATAGAAGTACATGTAATTTCAATCATGATGTTATTGCCAATTGTCAGGTCATTGTGTGTCAAAGCTCAGTTAGACCTCAAATTGGCATCAACCTAAATCTTTGGACTTTGTTCTTCTTGCCCTAGGACCTGAAAATATTTTTCAAATTTCTTCTTGTTGATCTTTAAGTTCTACTTCATGGATTCATTAAAGAAACATTTTCCCAGTCGACCCAATTCGTGACGAGCAATTGATTTTCATCAGAATAATGGTCATATATGAATGACACAATCATTTTCTAGAATTTGAAATCTACGCTATTATTCATTTTAAAAAAATCGAAGGAATCCTTCAAAAATGCAATTTAAAATTAAACACAGAAGCCTCTCTAGTAGTTCGATTGATTTTAGCTTTTCCTGTCCGGTTTGATATAATACATTTTAGATAGTTGTTTTTACCCACATTTGTTAGAATTAAAATAGTTTCACCCATGGTTGAAGTCGAATCAAGTACAGTTCGTAAATAAATTCTATATGACTGTGCAAAACAACCAAAAGTAATTACAAAAGAAAAATCCACTACATAATAAATTTTACTTGTAAACATGACCCAAGACAAAATGTTTTAACTTTTGAGAAATGTTGTTCAATACAGTCCATTGCATCATAACAGATTACCCTATTTAAGTTATAGAAGATATTCATTATATGCTGAACACTTGCTTTTGAATCAAGTTCATAATTATCATCAATTTTATTGACTATTTCTTCAGTAAATTAATTACAGCTTTGTAGCATGTTATGGATTTTCGGTAGGATCGAATTATGATAATCGTTGGGAATATAATATATAGAGTCATCTGAAATGCATTTAATGAAAATTCAATAAAAATAAACTCAAATCGTAAAGAAAAATTTCAATAATTCGAATTTATGAAGAAAAGTTTTTACTTTGTTTTTCATCGAACTTTTGCAACTACATTTATGTTGTTTTGCTAGATAGTGTCTACAAAATAATATCAACTCTAGAATAAAAGAGAGATGGTGGTAATCTTTAATTATTGGATAAACACAACAGCAAGAGACTTGGAATCTTTAGTCGTGGATAAAATATATGAGCTCGAATGATTTTTATCCAGATAGCATTTCAAGTAAAATCATAATGAGAATTATTTCCTTGGTTCATTAGTCGAAAAACTAGTACCTGAATACGATGACTAGTTTTCAGAAAAATATAAACGTACGGAAAGATAACCACGTGAATACTTGCTGGAACTACAAATCTCAAGCTTTTCACTTCGAAATACGAATCGAAATCAAAATTATGTCGAGATGAAATCTTATTTTTAAAGTTTCTTTTATGAGGGCTATACATTCTAACGTAGTTCTATCTCATAAAGTATCAGATAAAAGCCGCCACTAGATTATTCATTTACCTAGATTACAAAGCATGCTGTTTTTTAATATATATTTTATTACTGCCTAATAGTAACATCATAACCTTCATTCACAGCATATTAAAATTGATGATAGTTTTACAGGAAATTATTTTAGAATCAAGTTTCCTAGAAAGGAAGAACTGTTTTTGAAATGGCAAAAATATCTTTTCCGTACATTGACAAAAGAATAGAAACCAAGATACGTATGACTTGCTGGCTTATGAAATTTATTTGCAGATTTTCTAGTTTTCCGTAGATCTGAACTTGCATAATATGCTTTCAAAAATCTGCTACTATTAGCAATGATGTCCATATTTGTTGATTTGAATCGCTCTTGAATGACTCATCAAGATGTTTTTGAAAGCGAATCTACTATTTATAAAGATAATCTTGTGTATTTTAGTTCTCTATCTCTACACAAACAAAACATTGTACAATCTTCATATCACCATAGAGTGTATGTCATAGATTCTATACCAAGTCTAAGACCTGCTCCGTGTGCATGTTCAATTGTTTATGTCTATCTGTTTGTATAATCATTAAACCATATATGAAGAACGACTATGTTAAATGCCCGGTAGTGAGATCAAACAGAACAAGTTTTTTCTTAGTATAATTTCCTGAAAATCTTAAAGTTTTAACAGGTTCGAAAAAATAAACATTATAGCACTTTGATAGCTTAGATCACATAAGCCATTCTCTTGATTTTTCTATAATTAACTCTTTGAAATTTTATATCTTATAGAATATATGAAAAAAAAGTCGAATATTATCTGGTCATATGTATCGTATGATTTCCGAAAGCAAAGTTCACAATAATGTTAGTATTAAAAATGTATTATTGTCATCAATTGGGAAACTAAATTATGTTTAAGAGTATTTTAAGTAACCGATGAGTAATACAACTATCAGTCATCTTTTTTTATTCTTATCATCAAATAGAACTACGTCTATGTAGTGAGCAATACTTCAATAAGTGTAGAGAAGACAAAATGAAAAAGTGCCAACTAACAAATAAATCACATAAACTTATGTCAATAAGAAAGATAAAATACTTAAAGTAAGGAAATCAAACGATATTATCTTTCGGATAAAGTATAATCTATATGTATACGTATAGATGTACATTTAAACAACATATTGTGGTCTTTTGTCCTCAAGAACACCACACATAAGTGATATGAACTATGATAGATAAGAGGCAGATAAAAACTACGCACATTCCTACTCAGCAAACGAAAAACGTTTTCTTTTTTAAATTCAATTATATGCACCAGCTGCGTGCTTCGTCTCTCCAGAGATATTTTTCTTTTAATTTTACACAGAACGAAAAGAAAAAAAATCTCCCATGATAAGTGATACCACTATTAACTGTCGCACAGCATTGACTATTTCGTAGGCACATGTTACTTGCGATATTCACATCGAGTCGTCGAATGTAGTCGAAGTAAAGTCTGCCGACTTTTTCTTGTTCAACGGCACAATGCCTGACCGAACATATAAAACCCGTATGTATTAAATATATTGTTTGTTATTGAAATAATATTTTTGATGTTTTTAATTAAAAAAAACCTAGAAATCTTCTCATTCGACAACGATAATGCAAGTCCCATTGTATTAACCACAAAAACCGGAAATGGCCAGTATTCACTTAAACGCCTTTTTTCAATTAATAATGTCTCTGCTGTTAATTCTTCGAAAAATATTTCAATGTCTGCCATTAAATCGACAAAAACAAATTTATCGAATGCCGGCCCGATGGCTCGGCCATTCGATGAATTTTCAACAGGTATCATGATGATACCTACTGCTCCTTTGGACGAACAAAACTTCGATAAAACAACACAATTATACAAAGATCAATAAAAGCAAACCTGAACACAAGAAAAATTATCGAAACATTTATAAACAATATCGTGTGTCTATTGTTTTCATGTTTATGTGAAGAATGTCAACTTTCAGTCGTATATGGTACCTTATAAATCAGTTCTTGTGTTGACAGTATCTAGAAAACAAATGTAACAAAATAGCAAATTAAATCCAACCTTTTTGTGTTGCTAATTGGATACACATGTTCTTGATCATTTGTTCGTTCTTTAATAATAAATCATGTAACGTTACGTTTATTGAAAAATGAATTTTGTATTCAAACACATGATATTACTTCATGCTTCTTAACAATATCTAAGGATCTCTTTCTATTTTCAATATTTAATCGCAGTAGAAAAAACAAAAAAACATCTAAAATTCTACAGATTGATGTTAATATTCCAGTTGAACAAAACATTCTATGAAGCATTTTTTGTTGTTGTAATATTTGTACATGAATCATTTGCAAAGTCAAGCTATGGATTATCATATTTACTGGATAGATTATTACAAAGAATTTATTCTGTGCCTGTAAATTAAAGCAAATGGAAATATTGAAAAATAGAAAATCTTCTTTGATAAATACATGAGATTAACCAAGATACAGAAAAACGTTTTTAATGAGAATTCTAGAACGCTTCAATAACATACATAAATGATTAGCGCATAAATTGCGGACGTACTGATTTTGATTGTTTGATGAATCAGTATTAAACAATAACCAAGGTCATACAAGCCATATTTTTCTATTATAATGACGTACATTATCATTTATTTACTTATCTATTTATTTTTATCCCTATCAATAATCGAAAAGATATCAACACGGGCATAATATATCTATATTGACAGTATTTCACTCTAATTTCAATGTAGCACCCAAACGCTGAGCGAATGCACAAGCCCAAAGCACATCGAAACGAATGTAAATCATATCATAATAGCAAATGCGTGCATATTGCTCTTAGACTGACATCATACAAAGAGGCGATGATACTTTAGAAGTTGACTATGGACCATCTGTCACATCGATGAAAATTAAAAATAGGAAACATAATTTTGTCTCATATTACTTCAACTGAATTTTTCTATTTCAGATAGGTCTTGAAGTATTATTAGAGTGTGAATATGGTATAGAAAAATATTAATTACAAAATACATAACAGAGAGTATAAAATTGCAACGTGGCAAATATTTATCGAAGAAACCGTCGCCATTCTTCTAAAGAAGTGGGATGTTCAGGGACTCAGGAATAGGACTTGTTCGTTAATTTCTCTAAAATTGACTGGATTCTACAGTTAAAAAAAAATAGAATGCTACCGATATTTGTTACTGCCACATTCGTTTTTCTCCAGACACTTGTTAATATGAATGTGCGAATACGCAAACCATTTCATAAAACGCTTCCTCTTAAATTTCATCCATGAAGTAATGAATGGCCGATTACTATTTCCCCGACGAGTTATTACATCAATGCAGACAGTTCCTCAACAGATTAGGAATTGCTGTTTTTCAATTCTTAGATACTGTTAGCAGCATCAGTTTGCTGACCACCTGTCGTTGACTACGACCAAAACTAGAATTTCAATCATCGGATGAAGTCGATGCGTTCCTCTTGTCAAGCTCTGAGTATGTTCTCGGGTTTTTCTAGCAGTAGTAAACCTAAAATCTAACCAGCCGAAAACTCAAATTATTCATCTAGATTGAAAAGCTTGTGGAATAACTGTCCAGCATGGATATGTCCAAAAACATACATGTGCTTCTTTTTAATAAAAGCATGAATCTAGATTTTGTTTTTTCAGTTCAATATCTATAATGATCATTCTTAATAAAACACGAATTATGTTTAGCCATTTCTAAGATGTTTTCAGATAGAAAGATATGTTTCGATTTCGAATGTAGAATAATTTTTACATGGAAACAGAATGTAGCATCTATAAATTCAACACAGTGTCTATTGAACTAACAAAAAAAATCTAACTTAAGTGTGTAATTTCATTCATTTTGTTCAATTTCTTTTTGGAAGCTTCCTGGAAAAAGACTACCATATGTTTTGACTTTTTTTCTGATTGGCTCAACTAGATAGATAACTGATAGATATCGCTGTAGATATGTAATATCTGACAAATATGAATAAATCTCTGAGAAAAACAATATCCATATTTTCAATAGTTTTGTTTAATTTCAAATTAAAACATTCTTCCGTAATTTCATTGGTTTATTAATTAATCAAACAAAGTATCATTATCATTTACTTAATCAGGTCAACGAATGAAAACAACATAAATAAAAAGATTGGACAACTGTTTATATAGTTTGAATACCTCCGTATTATGTGACAATAGATTTGCACTAATCATTATAGACGAGCTTTAGCGTGTAATGGATAAGTATTTTCTTTTGTCATTTAATCATTTTAGATATGAACATTCAAAGATAAAATTCCATTCTGCTTACAAGCAGTTTTTTAATTTAACTCCTCAAAATCATGGGTGTACCTAAATTCTATCGATGGGTATCCGAGCGATATCCTAATATTAGCCGAGTGATTAATGATAATCAGGTATGATTATTGATATCTATATATATATATATATTTGATAAATTTTAAAATATTTTTTTCCTTTTTTTTAAAATAAAAGATACCTGATTTTGACAATTTCTACTTGGATATGAATGGAATAATTCATGCATGCTCACATGTAAATGATGATAATTGTGACACAAATGTAACAGAAGAAGAAATATTTCGAAATATTTTTCATTATATTGATGTTAGTAGTTGAATTTTAAAATAATAATTTACGTAAATGATGTTGCTTATTTTTTTCAAGTTCCTTTTTCGTATGATCAAGCCCAAAAAAGTTTTTTATATGGCTGTTGATGGTGTTGCACCACGAGCTAAGATGAATCAACAACGATCAAGACGATTTCGAGCTGGTCGAGATCGAATGAAAAAGTTAAAAACATTATCTGAAAAAACTGGTCAAACATTAAAAGAAACTATGGCTAATCATTTTGATACGAATGCAATTACGCCTGGTATTTTTATATTATCAATATTTGTCTTTATATAGAATGAGTGATATAGATTTTTTCACATCCATCTTAGAAAAGTAGTTTTGATGCAGTGGAAAAACTATTATACTATTTCATATTGAGATATCAATAAAAATACTATTTTTATTCTTTACTCTTTTTTTAAGGAACGACATTTATGGCAAATCTTGATGAACAACTGAGATATTTTATCAATGTTAAACTCACTACGGATCCATTGTGGGAAGGTGTTGACATTTATTTATCTGGACATTTGGTATGTATCAAATATATTCATTTTCTTTTTAAATTTTATTTCAATTCTTTATCTCAATGAAATAGACACCAGGCGAGGGTGAACACAAAGTCATGGAATATATTCGTTATGCACGTTCACAACCAGGATATGATGTTAATACAAGACATTGTTTATATGGACTCGATGCTGATTTAGTATGTCAATAATTTTTATTATTAAGATAGATGAAGAATAAAAAATTTGATCTAGATTATGCTTGGCTTAGTAACACATGAAATGCATTTTGCACTTTTACGCGAAGAAGTTAAATATGGCCCAAAAAAAGTTTCAAAAATGTAAGTTTGTTTTACATAACAATTCATTTCAATCATTTATTATATTTCATAGTCTTACGCCAGAAGAAATCAATTGGCATTTGTTACAATTATGTTTACTACGTGATTATATCGATTTAGAATTTCGTTCAACTAAAGTAAAGAAAAGTAAACAAAGATTTATCAAATATATATTTTGTTTTTGCTTTCAGGATAAATTGAAATTCCCATATGATATTGAGTGTATTGTTGATGATTGGATACTTATGGGTTATTTAGTTGGTAATGATTTCATCCCACATTTGCCTCATGTTCATATCAATCAAGATGCCTTACCGCTGCTTTGGGAAACCTATAAAAAAGTATTACCAACACTTGATGGTTTGTATAAAATCTTTTTGCAAAACAAACAATAAATTGATTATTTCAATATTTGTTTTAAAGGCTATATGAATGAATCAGGTGATTTAAATTTATCACGTTTTCAAATTTACTTAACAGAATTATCAAAATACGATTATGATCGATTTAAAAAAGATAACGAATCGTTAGAAAAATTTGGGTCAACTCCAAAAAAATTTGAACTTGATAAAGATCAAATTCCTAATTCAGGTTTTAGTCTTGAAATTATGGAAAAATTAATGATAAGAACATCAATAGCTCCTAAAAAAGAACCGAATGGTAGCAATGAAAATGATTCTAATGGCCAAATGATTGATAGTTTTATAGCTCTTGAACGAAAACCATCAAATGTTTCTTCATCTTCATCATCAGATGATGTTCCTCAACGACCAGTCTATCCGGATGCTGATGATGATGGCCCATTATCGGATTTTGACCGAGATAGTGATAATGACGATGAACATAAGAAGCTTCTAAGAATGTCATCAAAATATAGTACAAATGAAAACGATGATTGCCGATCAACGATCGACATTACATTTCGTCAACATAAAAATGAATATTATCGTCGTAAAATGAAAAGTGAATCAGTATCAACAGAACAAATTCAAGCATATGTTCAACAATACATTGAAGCATTACAATGGATTTTAAAATATTATTATCAAGGTTGTCCATCATGGTCATGGTTTTATCCACATCACTATGCACCATACTTATCAGATTTAAATAATTTTAAACATTGGCAATTTACATTTCAAAGAGGAACACCATTTAAACCATTTGAACAACTTTTAGGTAAGCATTTTTATTAATCGCTAGAAAGTTCATAGATAATAGAGTAAAATATATGATATTATTTTTCTTTGAAAGGCAAAGTATAACTGATTATTATTCAGGTAGTGAAATGTAATTTTTTTAACTGCTGAATACTTTTCAAATGATGACGTAACTTTTCCTAAGGCATATGCGAATAGTTCAATTTTGATGCAATAGAACAGATGTTTGTAAAAAACAAATCTTGCAAGGTTACTCTGTTTTCATTTGAATTGTTCGATTCATGGCTCAAGTATGCGTTATACTTTTTACGTGTCATATTTATATAGATTCAACTAGTTAAAAACTTTTGCTTTGTATTTCTAAATCTTTTGTTTTGTTGCACATAGAGTATCTGTTTAGATCTTCTTTTAGATACATGAAACTAGAAATGCAGTTCATTAAATCATGGAGAATCGAGCTAGTCTTCAAGTTTTATTTTTTCAAATCACATGAAAGTGTTTCATCGGTTACAAAAAAAAGGAATGTGTTCAGAAAAAAAAGTTAACTAATTTATTGTTGAATATTTAACTAGAAAAGTGTGTTTGAAACTGGAAGGAGTCTGGATTGTGTTGACACCTCTGTAACCTATAGTGTGTTACTCATCGATCACAATAAAAAATATCGTTCAATTTGTAGAGGATTCGGAGAAAAAAATCGCATACAACTATCAACATCTCTGATATACGTAGATATATAACTTGAAAATGAACTTTATTGAATTGAAATCAAATTGATTTCAATAGTACGTATATGAGAATCCAAACATCATTGTCATGACTTATCATCATAGTCTATTGAGGATTCGATCAACATTCCAAAAAAAATTTTCCTAGATGGTATCCTTAAGATTGCAAAAGATTTTGTTCAATATCTCTGTTTAAGTCAAAATCTTTTGAAATAGAAATTCGCAAATTATTATCTAAAATGCTAATGTCTGTCTTTTTTTTTTGATTTGCTCAATAATAATAAAAAAAAATCATATACATATTATTTGGAATTATCAAAAGAAAAGCAAAAGCTTAATTTCGTTTTTCTAGTACTCATCGATATATTTATGTGTTGATAATAAATGTTAAAAATTTCTTTTAGCTGTTCTTCCGCCAACTAGTCGTTATTTATTACCAAATGCTTTACAGCCATTAATGATCGATTCTGAAAGTCCATTATTACATTTCTATCCGGAAGATTTTCAATTAGATCAAAATGAAAAAAAACAAGATTGGGAATCTATTGTTCTATTACCATTCATTGATGAGCAACTTTTGTTAAATTCTATAAGAAAATATTATGCAAATCTTGATGCTAATGAGAAAAGTCGTAATCAACATTGCTCATCATTATGTTTCAAATCGACGCCAACCTTACATCCGATCAGTAATACATTTGCTAATAATCCATATTTTCCACCATTAAGTCAAACGCGTGCAATTTGTACTGAATATTCAATGGATTATTTTCTATATGATGGTTCAACGTTTAAGCATGGACGATTTGATGAATCTCGTATGGTGTACTTTCCTAAATTTCCTGTTCTAAATGTTTTACCATATACATTTGATTTTAAACAAGGTGTTGTCGATATATTCGAATCACGTTCAAAATCGACAACACTTGTATTAAATTTAACTCATCAACCTGATACTGATTGTATAGCTTATAATGAAAAATGGGATCCAAAAGATAATGATAGTAGTCAACCATTTCAAATAACAAATCGTCATTTACTAATCGAACGTTATCTTGGTAAACGTGTTTTTGTTAATTGGCCACATTTTGAATATGGTATTGTTTGCGCAATCAGTGATTTTCGACATTTTTACACATGGTCAAATATTCCTGGTGGTTCACATTTTAGTTTTCGACCACTGACAAATGATGATAATCAAGATAATAAAAATTACAATCAAACACCAATTTATGTATCACGTTATCCATTTGAAATCAGCGATGAAAATAATAAATCTATATCAAGTAAAACATATCCGTTGGATGCATCACAAACTCAATCGGAATATACAAAAGCAATCAATATTAATCGGCGATATGAAAACCGACAAGGTGTTAAAATAGGGCCCATACCTTTATTACTTTATGTATGTCCATTAGTTGGTTATCGTACAAAATGTTCATTAACATCAGATAAATGTCAAACGATAATGTGTTTTTCAAATCAAGCTGTAGCTTATCCATTACAAACAACTTTACTTACATTAAAAAATTATAAATATAATTTATTTCAATTTCCTGAAACAATTCATGATTATTTTAAGCTCAATGATCCAATTTTTACGCTTCAGACACCTTATTACTCATGTATGGGTTATGTACAACAGATAGTTAAAAATAACAATGAAAAATATATGATTGAATGTCGTATGGAACCATCCGATATAACAAATCAACCTGATATACATGCGTCATTGAATCGACTTAGCCGTTTACAACTACAATATTGGACAGCACAAGAAATTGCTCAGTATCTACAAACAATGCCCTATGTTATATCAAAATTAACAGGCACAATTATTGTAACTACTGGAACAGGACGACGTGACAATGTAAATCGAATTAATGTAGGATTTTCATGGAAAGCAAATAAACCTGTTAAACAAGTAAACAAATAATATATTCAAATGTAAAAGTATATTTAGCATGTTTTTCTTGAATAGCTTTATGGTTATACGAAAAAAGAAGAACAAGTATGGCTATATTCCGATGCAGCAGTACTCATCATTTCTGATTATATGTTACAGTTAGTATTTGTTATTTCTCAGCATATGAATAGATTTGTAAAATATATTTTTTTTTAGATTTCCTGAAATTATTGCAGAATTGATAAGAAAACCGAAAGATGATTCATATCCAGAATTAAATATTTGGCCAATAAGAAAAGGGTACGGATCGACTGCTAGTATGGGAATGATCGAATGTTCTATGTACATGATAAAACATATAAATATGTTGATGATTTCTATCTATATACAAACATTTTCTAATAATTCAATAATTTACACTATTACTTTTCTTTTAAATTAAAATTTATGCATCTGAAGTTGAAATATTAATATCACTTGAGTTAATGTTTCGAGAAAATTTATAATAAGACAGGTTTTGTGTGATCGTCTGAGACGCTTTTACAAATAAACAGTGCCTAAAGTAAGAAAAGTCAAAGTTACTAAATATATCAATAGTCACAGGATCTTACTTTTTTTACATACAGATTATTATAATCTAGGTTTTCAAATTTTGTTGGTATTGTAAAAATATCTACGCATATTCTGCGATTAATACAAGAGAAATTGATTTATCGTCAAGACTATGAATCATGCGATAAATATAATAAACAGAATTGTTACTCATTTATTATGGAAATATAAAACCTTTAGAGAGGATTTGATTGAAAAAGAGAAGAAGCTTGTTTTTAAATTTTATTTATCGAGTCTTTATTTTTTAATGTTCTTAGTATTCTCTACTTTTGAGACATCTAAAAATCATGCATCACTCTTTAGGATTTGCATAGCAATACTTTGAAATTTTCAGCATAAGGATTCAACTAAACATCTTCCATATATAGCTGAAAAGAAATGATTTGATTAAATCTTATCAATGAATATTATCATTCTAGTTCAGTTTAAAAAATAAAAGAAATATTTATTATTGAATTTTTCTAGGAAATCTCGACTACAAGATGCTCGTACTTGGATTAAAAATCTGCCAACATATTCCATATCACTAATGGATGGTGCTTGGCAAGTACTTGATGCACCTGTTATTAAAGAAATTGATCGAATAACAAAATTATTCTATACAGTAGGCTGATTTATTCACTAAAACTTTCTTTATTATTTTCTATTTTTATCAATCATAGAAACATTCAATAAAAAGTTCTAATGAAAAAACTAAATTAATATCACTTGAAGTCAACCGTATATTTAAACCAAGTGAATCCTGTGGTATGTGTGATTCTGACATTGAAACTCGTTATGATCTCTATGATCGTGTTATTACTGTTCGTCTCGGCACTGGTGTGCCGATTGGTACACGTGGTACAATCATTGGTGTTATGCTTGGTCAAACACATCTAGATACGTACTATGAAGTTTTATTTGACCATTTACCAAAGAATAGTCTTGATGCTATTCTATTGGGCAGAAATAATCAGCAATGCCGAATTAAAGTTCGTTCTTATCATTTACTTAATTATTCTCATTCGCTTCGTACTCGTTCAATAACTAATTATCAACAACAACGATCAGCACCAGGTGAAAGCATTTGGGACAAACGATCATCAGAACAATCATCGACACCTCGACAAACTCAAGGTCAGCAGCAGCAGCAACAACAACAACAACAACAACAACAACAACAACAACAACAACAGCAGCAGCAGCAGCAGCAAACACCAACTCGAATTCTTAAACGAACTACGAATGATAATACTCCAACAACAACAAAATCTGCGCCAATAACAGCATCTACACAAGAGAAACCTAATTTTATTGAAACAACAACTACTCCTATTCAAGAGCAAGAAACAAAAAGAAATCCTGCATCGTCAACATCGACAGAAAAATCGACATTGCCTCAAGCAACAGCAACGAATTCATCATTAGCATTACAAAGTCAAACGAATTCTGTGTTACAACCACCATCCGTTGAAAAGCTTCCAAAACCAGAAGTTAGTTTTTCATCAAAAAATACAGCCTTGCCAATCGTCAGTGACGCAAGAGTATCTGTACCAATCTCGTCTACTAATCCACAGATAGATTCCTTACTATCACGTGCCATTCAAGCATCAAAACAAATGCCAAATCCACTAGAACAGAAGCAGAATACTCAATCAAATATAGTTCAGCAGCAAGTATCGGATGCAATACCACCACTAATAGTACAACAAAAATCTAATGATCTGTCTTCATTTATTCAACAAGCGTCTAGAACCATTCCAACAACGTCAATGTCAAACCAACAGCAACAACAATCTGGTGATATCTTTATGATGCATCAACAAATATGGGACACACCACCACGACAAGCAGTGCCAAATACAAGTATGTAACTTATCCTTTGTTATCTTGACTCTGCTAAAAGTTGATAAGAACTAAAAACAAATCCAACGAAACAAAAAACAAAAATACTGACTAAATGAAAGCTGTTCTTACATTTTGTTTTTCATTTCCTTTCAGTCTTTGCTCAAGCAATTGAAAGTATGTCACGTGCACCGCCATCGCCATTATTATCTTCTCAAATTGAACAACAATCTCCAATATACAACCCATTACAATCGCAATCAATACAGCAACAACAAGGACCTCTGTCCATTCTGCAACGTGCAATTCAGCAATCTGAACAACAATTTAACATGAATCTAACACCTCCAACAATATCAAATGAATTACCTGCTTTACCAGTTTTTCAACCATTTGATTTAATTCCTCCAAATACATATCCTGGTTTTCCTATTGGACCGGTAAGCAATCCAGTTCCAATGCAACAACAACAATCACCAGCACAATCGAACAACATTCGTATGGGATCACCTCATATAATATCTAGTCCTAATGTATCTCATAATTCTTCGCCATCACAACCCCAAACACCGCAACAAATAAGTTCACCTCGTATGTCAGGTGGATCGACTCTTCAGTTCGTTCCATCACAAGTCTTACGTAATATGTCTAAAAATCACAAATAAAGAATGGACAAAAACAAACCAATGTATCAACAATCTATTTTGCTAAAAGTTTCTTTTTCGATTTACACACGTATAGGCAAGAATATAATGTCCGTCTTGAATGTGATCATATTAGCCATCTGTCACTGTTAGTTTTTTCTTGTTGTCTTACTTTTCATTTTTTGTCTCGTTAATATCTATATATGCATATATATATAAATATATAAATATATATGTATATACAAATACACGTCTCATTGTGACAGTGATCGAAACAATCGTACTAGAAAAAAATGCTTTTTTTTTGGTTTCTTGAAGAGCATTTTTTTTTCGTTTTTTTTCTCTTACTGTTGTTAAACATTGATATAGATAGTGAAGAGAAAAAATATTATTCATTATAACTATGTTTCGTTTCGTTCTGTTAGATTTGTTTTTCTTTGTTTCTCGTACGTGTAAATATGAAAAAAGAAAAAAACACAAAAGACTCATTCGGATTTGTTTATTACTTGGCTTAGCTTTTGTAATAAAAAAAAACATACACATAATACAACGGTTAAAAAGTTATTTTGTTTCTCTTACTTTTATTTTAGATTTAAAAATGAGATTATTCAAATAGCAATATTTTTTTTTCTATGGGTAAATTATTTAAAGTATTAGTTTGGGGCAAAAATGCCGTTGGTAAAACATCATTAATTGAACAATTGGCTTATGGACGAGTAGAAGAAAAAGTTAGCAATAATTAAAAAGCTTTATGTTGATTTTACATTTTTGATTATTAGTCATATCGAGAAACAATCGAAGATACATATTGTATACAATATGATAATAGTTTAAATGAAAAAGATATCGTACTTCGTGTACATGATATTGGTGGTGTGGTAAAAAATGATTCTTTTTTCATATTTTTTATGTTTCTGTTAAATTTTTATTTTAGAAAACTTCACCTGGTGAAGAAATTTCTAATATTCGGCATTTATTGACTTTAATTGATGTGGGTTTCTTTATTATTTAATTGTTGTTATTTTTTTATTTACATATTTAGTTTTAGGCTATTATCCTTGTGTTTGATAATCGTTCAAATGAATCTTTTGAATGTTGTAAAGCTATTAAAGATATTATTGAAGTTAAAACAACAGATAAAAACAAAAAAGAAGTTTGCAAAAACAAAGAAAAATTTTACTTATCTCTAATATATTTTTTTTGTTTGCACAGAGTTTACCGATACTCGTACTATGTAATGAAATTGTATTAGATGAACGTCGGTCAAATTTTACTCAAATAGATGGAGAACAATGGACAGCGAAAGATAAATGTTTTGGTTAGTTGGAATGAAATTCGTTAGAATTATGTTAACTTATTTTTTCATTATAGTGGGTAATCGAGTATGGTTCGTTAATCTTCACGATCGTGCCCGTACAGTCGAAGCATTCACTGCTCTTATGAAAGAATTGTATAAACCACAAAGTAAGCAGTTTTTCATTGAAATATAATTAATAAAGTTCATAATTGAAAAAAATCTTATTACCTATAGCAGCAAACAAAGACGCTGCTGAACGTAATATATTACCTCGTCTAGGTTTAGGCGATACTGTAAGTCGATGAGAGCACATATTTGCTATTTTTCTTACTGGTGATGGTAGACATAACTGACAAAAACAAAACACGCCGAAATAATTTTGAGATTTGATTTAAACAACACACTATTTATATTAATTAAAGAAAAAAATCACACGTCTCCTCATCATTCTGCTCTTTAGTGGATTCAATTTGTACGATATATATTTCGACGACGTCGTTTATCTGTGTATGCGAGCGAAAACAAAGAATTAAACTTCATTTTTATTTGATAATTAATATCACGCAGAATATTTTCTGTTGATTTTATTTTGTTGTGCTCGTGAGCGATCAACAAAGAAATGACATAAACCTTCTTGAATGGCTACTTTTTGACTGATGCTTAATGACTGATTGACACTCAAGAGTTACTTGTTATGCATGTTTGTTTGAGATATTGAAAACAAAAAACACAACAGAATTTTTCTTTAAATACTTAATCACATTGATTCCTTAATACGGTTGTTTTTTTTTATTTCTAGGTAAATCGGGTTTTACGCTCGGCAGTAAAAAAGGCAAAATAAATGTGAACCAATGAATGATTTTTATACAAAACGATACTCAGTTTTATATATATATATATATATAAAGTTCGTCTTTTCTTTTTTTTGTCCTAAAATATTTTTCATTTGAAAGCTTTGTTGTTGTTGTTGTTTTTTGATAGTGGCACATATGTATATTATTCTTTTTCTTCAGATGACGAGTAATACAACAACAAATGTATCGATCGAGTCACAATTAGATTGTGCACTAGATTTAATGAGACGGCTACCACCACAACAAGTGGAAAAGAATCTTTCGGATCTTATTGATCTTGTACCCGATTTAACTGAAGAACTTCTAGCTGCTGTTGATCAACCTCTTAAAGTTGTTCGTGATCGAACTGTTGGAAAAGATTATCTATTATGTGATTATAATCGTGATGGCGATTCATATCGATCACCCTGGACCAATACATATTCGCCACCGTTTGATGGTTTGTTTTACATAAAATATGCGATGAGACAGAATTTTTTGCTTTGAAAAACAAAATGGATACTGAAATACGTGAGAGCACATTGCTGAGACATATAAATCCACGAAGAGTTCCCATTGATTATGAACATTGTAGTTATTTCAGAGAAATAATTCTAGCTTTCAAATACAAAACGAAAATAATATGTAGTACAAGCTTGAATATTCATGACGTTTCAATATGATGTATTTTAAAATATATCTTTTTGTCATATTTGAATATTTAGAGAGTAACGCAAATGTTGAGAATCTATACTTAACCTATTATCTATATTTATTGATCATTGCTAATGATAATTTAATGAAGATAATAGTAATAATATTTTGACGCTGTTGTAAATATTACATCATTTGACTTCATCCTATTGGCCATATGAGATCAAAAAAATGAAAAATGCTGTAACTTTGATTTTCTTCTATAAAAATTCTGAAGTTCTTTTTCTTTGACTGAACAAGAGTTTAAAAACACAAAGCAATTAAAACATTTTCTCTTATTTAGGAAATCTTCCATCGGATCGTCTTCGTCAATTAGAAATTGAAGCTAATCAAGCATTTGAACAATATCGTGAAATGTATTTTGAAGGTGGTGTTTCATCAGTTTATTTTTGGGATCTTGAAAATGGTTTTGCTGGTGTTATACTTATAAAAAAAGTTGGTGATGGTAGTAAAAAAATAAAAGGTTGCTGGGATTCGATACATGTTGTCGAAGTACAAGAGAAACAAAGTGGTCGTTCAGCACACTATAAACTAACATCAACAGTGATGCTTTGGCTACAAACACATAAAACAATGTCAGGCATGATGAATTTAGGTGGAAGCCTACAACGTCAACTCGAATCCGATCATCAAATAACAGATTTCTCTCAACATATTATTAATATTGGTAAAATGGTTGAAGAAATGGAGAATAAAATTCGACAAACACTTAATTCTATTTATTTTGGAAAAACAAAAGATATTTTAAATAGTTTACGTAATTCGGAAAATAATCAAGGTCGTATTCGTTTACAACAAGCTAATTTTACAGGTGAATTACAATCAGCACTTAATCGTACGCGACCAGTTGAATAAAAATTTCAAGATTATAGTTAGGAACTGCTTGTTGCTCGTTTCTTTTTCTTTTTCTATTTATCAAACAAATTAAAGAACAGGTGTATGTGTTTAGAGATTTTTCATTTAACTCTGAAAAGAGAATGCATTAAATAGGTGTGTTTATTCATCTTTGATTTTTTTTACATGAAGATTTTCCTGTTTTTCTTTTCTTTTTTTTATCTATCAAAGTTTGCTGGTGCATATGTAATTTCGCTTTTCACTCGTGTAAATTTTATTATTAAAACATGTCATTCCATTTTTTCCAAATATATCATAAATAGAAAATTTTTAGATTTTGATTTTTGTTAAAAATTAATAATATTGATCATGTTAAAAAAAACAGCGTCGACATCTTCGGCAACAAATAGTATTTATCGATTGAATTCTATTGAAAATTATTCAGCGCCACTATTTAAATCAACACAATCGATATGCGTACAAACAGATACTATTCAAAACACTTCACAATGTACAAATACACCAAACTATTTAGATGATATGTTAATACAAGGAAAAAACATGAATGATGACGAATTTGAAAAGTTTATTAAAGGTAAATAAGAACATAATTTATGATCAATCATGAACGTTCGAGCTGCGTATTTTTAATATTAATATGCTCACTAAATAATTATGTTATGCGGAACGAAATTCAATCCTCACTATATTAATCATTCTTGTCAATATTGTATTATTTCAATTATTAGATCCAAGTTATAACTCTGCATGCATTCAATCAAAATATCTCATTCGATTTCTCTTTATTTACATTGCTTTCAATATTTCTTGTTATGCATCTGAATTTCCCGTTCGATTAAAACGAAGTTATGACCTTTGATGTTCTAGGCCGAGCATCTGATTGTTATTGGAAAATTTTGGCTGAACGTGCTCGAATAAAACTTGACGATGAATTGAGAGAAAATCAACAAGTAACATATCTATTTAAGAAAAAAAAACAGAATCCATATATAGGAGAAAAACATTTTCTTCTAATTTTTTTAGCTGCATGAATTACTCGACGAATTAACTAAAGAAAATGAAAAACTACAAGCGAAAAATGAACATTGTGAATATTTAACAAATGTTTTTAATGTATGTATAGGATTCCTGCAAAAAATTATTATTGTTTTTTATCTGGATAATATTTATTTAGTCTATGACGTCAGAATATGATAGTGGCATTGAACTTCACATTACCGATGAATCTCCAATGTCAAAACGACAAAAAACACATATTTAAAACGTTTAAATTCTTCTTTTTGTTTTCCTTAATGTGTTGAATGTTTGTATATTTAACAAAAAGAAAAAACAATCTTTGATTCTTCAATTAAGTCATATGAGTAAACTATGTCAAATGTCAGATATTTGCTTTTTTGTTTCTGTTTTGTTCCTATGTATTTATGTTCTTAATTTCAATGTCTTTCTTCAAATATTCCAATAAATAAATAAATAAATAAATAAATTTATTTATTTATTTATTTATTTTGTTGCATGCTTATGTATGGATGAGTATTTACATGGGGCGTCCTAGCATATTCGATGGAATCAATTAATTTATCGTTTTTTGACCTGTGTTCATGTTTTGTTTTTTAATTTGCGTTCATGTCATTTTTGTGGTTATATCAAGTAGACAGATAACTTTTCTATTAGAAAAACAAAATTGATTTCTCATTTGCATTCAGCTGTTGAATTTACTTATCAAGCGCATGACTCGAACGTGTTGACAAAATATTAATGGGTTAAAAATGAAAAAACAAGTGTGAATATGATATCTATCTCAATGGTGGAAAGATTTTCTCGCTTCTCTCTTCACATATTTCTTTTTCTCTCTGTGTCTCGCTCTAATTCTCGTTTTCATATAACCTATTGTGTAGTGCTTGAGGCACACTACACGTATGGTGATGATCAACTGTCAACGCTGAATAATAGAGGGCAAAGCAAAAGTAATAGAATAATAGAGACTGAAAAGTCGCTCTAGCATTCTGTTAGCATACGAGTCTCGAGGCTTGAAAGGAGATCCGTTTCAATGACGACCCAAATCGATCCAATGATTCGAATAAATGATAGTAAAGCATGCTTGTTCGGGGCGACAATTCAATCTTATTTGCTTTTTGATTACGAAAAGTATATATTATTTTATATTTATTTTCTAATCCAAGGTCGTATTGAATTTTGTAACAACGCATTGAAATTGGAGATGATTCACTTATAATTCGCCCTATGATTGATGGATTCTTGAATCGGTGCTTTATATTGAAGAGATCGCAAAACATAGTTTGTTCGTTTTTATCTCGCCTATCATCATTGACTTTTGGCGACAAGCAGCAAACAACAGGAGATTCATCTGATTTCAATCGGCGCCGTTGTCAATCAGATTAGTTCGCGCACAGTGGTTCTATCATGTTGATTTCTCGCATTTCTGCTTCTTCTATATGATTATATTCTCTTATCATAGACAGTAACGTATATAAGCATACGGCGCTTTCGGTCATATTCACGTGAAAAATATAGCTAGTCGTTTAGTTTCGTGTTAGACAGGATGCGAATGACTTTGAGAACAAACAATCGTCTAAACTTGAAATGGCACGTATACATGATTGTTTTTTTTCCGAGTTTATCTGAAATAATAAAAAGTATGACTTAACTTTCCTTTTCGTTCAGTATTAAGTCAGTTTTAGATGTGTCTGGTCGTTCGTGTGATAATTGTTTCTTGTTTTGTTGTCATTCATATCAAACATAAAAATATCACAAGTCACCTCTAGGTAGATTATGCACAAAAATCATATAGTTCTTTATTTAGAAATGTTGATATTATCCTTGAAGGCATTAATGCCGACTCTACAAAATGAATTTAGAAGTAGATTATCATTGAATAGTATATTAAATAATTAAAGATCTTTTCTCTCTCTCTCTCTCTCTCTCTCTCTGCTATTATTAGTTCTATACTGCTTGTCATCTGTCTTACATAATTAAGTAGTAAAATCTATAGGTCATTCGACTCAAACGGGTATGTTGTTGGGAGAATTCGTTGATCCAGGTATTTTTTTCTTGTCCATTTCAATATATTTTTGAATAATTGATTTTCCTGTATCAATGTTAGTAAATGAGAACACGAATTAAATATATCGATGAACATTTCTCATTAGATATCTAAATCAATGTGAGATAATAATAATAGTGTGATGTGTCAATCCGTCGTTTTTTTTAAGAAAAGTTGTATACGTCAGTTTTTACAAAGTTCATAGTACTTACTCACATCATTGTCATTATGAAAGCTAACTGAAACTATTCTCATGTGACATATCATTCAACATCACACTGATTTGCCATATTTTTAAGTTCAGTTTTCGCTAGATTAAATGACACGAGAAAGTTACGCGGCATCGCCTATTCGTTCGTTGATGGTTATATGAATTGGCATATATTTACTTTTTGATTATGGATTAGAATGATAAGGTCGACGAGGTTCGTGCAATGTCATATTTCAATGATTCTCTTTTTTTATTAATAAAGCCTATCGTTTTTCTCTAATTTCCTGTTAACGATCAATATGTTATCAAGCGACATTATAATCTCGAGATATACTTTGGTAACAGTGTTTCTTTTTTTTTCTTTGCTAAATATTTTAGATGATTGCTTGATAGTGTAGTGTAGAATTAATGAGACGAACACTATATGTTTTCAAAAAAATCATATATTTTTTAATTTAGATATCTTTTCATTTTATTTGAATACAATCTATAATAAATAGTTCAATATATTTTTATGAACGATACAAATTAAACATAGTCTAAAATTGATTTAGAAAGATTTGTAAAACTATAGTCAATTGTGCCATAAACGATAAATAAATAATGAAAAAAGAAAACTATTATATCCTAGGGACGAAACCATTTAGTTAGTACTCGCTTTTAAGCTTGAATAGAAAGCAAGAAATTTCTCATACAGATATATAACTATTTGATTAGATTTCTGACACATGAGACGATTTAGAGAAGTAGTTTCGTGGAATGAACAGAAACCAACTTATTAGAAGACCGCGTTCAGTCTTTTTTTCTCTTCTTTTTGTGTGACTATCAGTTTTGTAGCTTGCAACATCCGATTAACTATACCGAGTATGGGAGAGTAGTAGGAAAGCTAATTGGACTGATGTCACATGTGATAAATGATTTATTTTGTGGACATAGTGGCAATCCTCTTGCATGCAATTTCCATCCCATTATAATTCTATTGATCATTATCATTGTAACGAACCAATGACAGTAGATCTAATGAAAATTATAGCTCTCTCGAGTGTGGTCGGATCGATATGTAATATCTTTTTCACTAGATCGCCTTGCTCAATTAAGGTTGAATGGTTCTTTCTGCACATAAGAGAGCTAAATTGCATAAGCAGATGTTTTGCATTGATATTCGCATGTGTTTGAACTTATTTTTCTTGAATCCTGATTCATTTGATGAAATTAGTTGATAAAAGAAATATGTATATATATATATTATAGGTTTATGAGTAACATAGGTAGCATGTTTAAGTACTGATAAACGTAATTAATAAGTTTATAGGAATAAAACTATAAAAAATAGGGACACAATTATTTATATTCTGTCTTTCTCTTTGTCTTCCTCATTCATCCTCTCTGTATTAGATAGAGCTAAACAGTCACTCAAATGTGGTCAATTAAGTGATAATTATGTTATTTTGTTTTATTAAGTTATTTCACTTATTTATCAATGTCGAACAATAACAATTAGAAAGTTCTTTGACATACAAAACTCCATCAGTAGACGACGTATAGATTTTCTTCTAGCAGAACTAAATAAAATAGATGTATTCGGATGTCTTTGATAGAATGAAGAAAACTATAGAAATAGACATTCTATTTTCCTACTTCTGACAATCAAAGAAACCAACTCTATAGTGATCAATGACAGAGTCATTAAAGTTTATTTTTATTAGTTCTTTATTATTTGACCAACAACAGCTACATTTGTATCTATTTTACTCCCCCTATGCATTACAAAATGTTAATTATTCACGAGAGAAAGAGCTGTAAAATTCTAAGCATTTTCATTCTTTATTATATGAAATAACGTGATTTTTAATAAGAAGATGAATAATTGACATATTTATACCATAAATCATTCAGCACAATACTAGATTTATACAATTGTCTGTGATTAAAGATTTTCCTACATAGAACGATCAATAAACTGTCGATTACATTAGCTTCTACACACACACACACACACGCACACACAGTCAATCTACTCATAAATATATTGTGTTTAACAAATCCTTTTCCTCATCTTGGTACATATATCTAGATATACATACATAATGCCTTTTATTTTTCCTCTGGCAGTTAGATAGATTAAGTACTCTTATAGGAAGAAACACCTAGATATAAATGTATATATACATTACATGGATAAGACATAAAAATAGAATATCGTATAATTCATTTGAATGTTTGTTTGTCCACACAATGTCTATTGTATCGGTCAGTTGAGTAGAAGATCACATAGTTGAGCAGATTGTGATTATGTTTTTGTTGTTTTCTCATTTGAACGCGCAAGAGAGGAAGAGAGGTAAAGATTAATTCAATGAGACAAAAGAAACAAAGGGAGAACTATAATAAACTGAATTATGACTGCTGTTATTGTTGTTGTTTTTTCTCTTTTCTTTTTAGATTTTCTTTTGTAATTAGAGAAAACACGCACCCTAGATGTAATCGGAAAAGAAAAAAGAAGAGAGACAGAGAAAGAGACGGAGACGGAGAGAGAAAGAAAGGCAAGAAAACAGAATGAGAATCTCCATAATTTTAGTAACAAACTCGGCTTGTCTCATGTTACTTTATTTTTTGTTGTTAGTTCTGGAGTTTTCAAAAAGATTTCAATATATTTATTGTATTTAGTGAGTATTTTCTTTTGAATTTGAAGCTATGCATCATGAATAATTACAATGAGCATTTTAACGCCTATACACTATGTCGATCTTGTCAACGGTACACTGAACAACAATCTGACAATAAAAACAATATCATCATCAACAATAATTACATCAGCAATGCCTGTTTCGGCAAGACTATTAACTTTAACATGCATGATATTTATCGATATAAGCGTATTTTTCGGTAATTTACTTGTTATATGTGCTTTTTTTCGTACACGACGTTTACAAACAGTAACTAATTATTTTATAGCATCGTTAGCATTTGCTGATGCTTTAGTTGCGATATTTGTTCTTCCATTAAGTATTTATTATCATCAACGTGATCATTCATGGCAACTTGGTTTAATCTTGTGTGATCTGTGGGTATCATCGGACGTACTTCTATGTACTTCTAGTATACTCAATTTAACTTGTATATCTGTTGATCGTTATATGGCTATAACAAGACCATTAACATATACTGCGTATAGATCGAAATTTCTTGCTCGTATCATGATTTTACTTGTATGGATTACTTCAGTTGTTATTACATGTCCACCTATATTTGGTTGGCGTGATTCGAATAGAAAATATACGGTATAAATTTATAACTATGAAAGATTCTTGAAAACATTTGACACCCTCGTAAGATTAATAATGAAAATTACAGTGGAGAACATTTAACTTAAAGGTTATGAGACATGAATACTATAAAATTATAGCCGATATTTTTTTTCTCAATCCTTCTATTCATTATTGTTTTTACAGAATAGACTTTTAGTTACAATAGAAGTTAATAAACCAAAAGAATATTTTATAGCTTTCAAATGAAGTTCTCTCTCTTTTTTTTGTTCTAAAAGACAAGCTTCTTGTCGGAAATAGTTTCAGATTAATACCATATAAAAAGATTATATTTATAGTTATGAAAGAAAAAATTCTAAAGTTCTTATTTTTTTACATTTTAGGTTGAACGTGATCATAAATGCGATTTGAATACGGCTCGAGGTTATGTCGTTTACTCGGCACTTGGTTCATTTTATATTCCAGCTTTTATTATGATATTTGTATATATACGCATATTTATGGTTGTGTATGATCGTGAGAATTTAATGCAAAAGTTTTATAATAATAATAATAATAATAATCGAAATAGAACAATACAAACGTCACCCTCAAAAACAAATCAAAATGGTTTAATCAATATTAAAAATACTTCGAATGGTGCCAATGATACTAATAATAAAGATCTTAAAAAAAGACGTGAAAAATCCTATTGTTGTTGTTTATGTTTTCGAAAAACATTTCAACAGAATGATGCAAGTATAAATCATCAAAGATCATTATCACCATTTAATAATAATTGTCTAAATACTGAGCAAAAACCAAATGGTTCTCTTATTTATCGATTTACAAGTAATAATAATATGAATATGAATACGAGTAATTATTATGATTGTTCTAATTCGACACCGAATACACCACCATTAACTTCTAAAGTAACAACGGCAGGAACATTATTTTGTCGCCCATGTACAATATCAACAAGAAAAATAACTCATTTATCCAAGGAAAACTATTATCGTCGACGTAAATATATGTCGCATATCGGCGCTCAATATCAATTTCGTACATGTGATTCACCATGTTACGAATTAAAAAATATTCAAAATTCATTACCATCATTGATTAGGTGTCGATCACATTCATTTGATCGAGCATCAATTAGAAGTAAAAATGATTTGAATGTAGAAAAAAAACAAAATCGATCATTTAAAACTTCAACAATATATAGTTCAACAAATTTTACTGATAAAACCCAAGTAAGATGCGACTTTCGTTACAAATAGAGAGAAATACACGAGAAACATACTCTTCTCTTCTATTTACACCGTAAATACATATGATTTTTCTATAATAGTAAACATATTATTTTATGACTCAGGCTTGCATTAAATTCATTTTTCTAACAGAAGAAAATAAAATTAAAGCTAAATTTAATAAACAAAACAAAAAATCATAATGGAAAAAAACAAAACGTTTTTTTTTTTTGATAGAACAATTGAAATAAGATACTCATGAAAAAAAATTTCGTAGTATTCTTTTCCAGTTCATTGGTTGCAGATCTTTTTATGGTAGTGATATATGAATTTCTTTCGAAATTCACTAAACGTAAATCGCAACGGTATCTCTATAATCACGTTAATGGTAATTAAGGCTTCATTTTGTTTTGCACAATTCTATGAATCGTTAAAGATAAAAAAAGAATTATTTATACAAAGCACTGTTAGCCGACTATGATGATATAATCGATGTTAAATAAAGCAAAGCATAAACATTGTTAATCTGATAAACAAACTAATTTTGGAAGTAATTAGTTTTCTATTGAAAAAAAAGTAGTAAAGCTATTAATACTAGGGATTTCGTAGGATATTCACTAGAGATATGTAGAAAAATCATAAATAGAATCAGTTTACTCGAGGAATATGCGAAAGATCACATGGCGTATAATGTTCGCAGACTAATCTGAATTAAATTTAGAGCTACTTTACTTAAGACGTTGTGTAGAATAAGTTTTCCAACGACCATGATATATATATATAAATGAAATTAGTTTTATGTTAGTAATGTAACCAAGTAGTAAAAATCTAACACATTATTGAATCCTTCATTATTGTTTTCTATAAAAAAAAAGCTTCTATATGCATTGCATGAGTATAACTTCCTCATTAATCAAATTTTTAACTAATCTCTCTAGAAAAGAAGATAGTACCAAAACATCCTTTTATTGATATTTTATTTTGTGAAAGAAAATCAGATAATATGTGATACAGTGCACATTAGATTGAACGAGACTCGATCATATTGACCAAGGAATGTTAATTGGCATTTTGGTCCTAGATAAATAGAATAACAAGTAAAATCAAATGCGGAAAATATAATAAAAACATTTAATTAATCTGTAATTATTATTGAAAAAGTTTAAAAAAATGAAATCATAACTTCTCCTTACACTTTTACAAGTTGATTTAATTGAAATAATTTTCTTTTTTTTTCTGCTCAGAATGAAGTCGATAACATCTTATTGTCTAATAAAGAAAACAATTCATGTTCTATGGAATGTGTATATCAAATAACTCAATCATTAAATGAATTAACACATGATCGAACACAATTGTCATCAAATGAACAGATAAAATTACAAGAAATAAAGTATCCGAAAAGGTTATCGAAATGTACGTCGTTAATTGAACAGAAACCGACTAATAATTCAAGAGATCCAAATTTTCATGAACATAGAACTTTACCCGAACAGACTCGTATAAATCGACGAACGAAACCTACACGTCGACGAACAAATGTACCGCAAATGACGAAATCAATTGAAAATTTACCACAACAGCATAGAATAGCACCAAATAATAATTCCTCACTCCAATCGAATCAATCATCAGTATCGATTCATCGTAAAAATGTCAATAAGATGGATAATTCAAAGCGTTCTTGTTGTTATTGTTATTCTTGTTTAACACCATTGAATAATTCAAAGGAAAATAAAAATAAAAAAATTTATTATTGTACACCAAATCATTCATTAACATACGATGATGATTATGATGATGATTACGATGACAAATTATCTTCAAACGATGCAAATAATCGTGCAGCAATGATGGTGACATCAAATGCAAGTTTGCGTGTTGTGGAAAATCTAAATCATAATACTTTATTATCATCTAATCGTCATCATCAATCAAGTGGAAACACACAGAATCCATCACATGATGTTCATCGTCGTGAACGTATTCGTTTTATGAAAGAGCAAAAAACAGCTAAAACGCTAGCTGTTGTTGTTGGTGGCTTCATTCTTTTCTGGTTACCGTTTTTCATTATGTATGTTATACCGCCGGAAATATATTCATTTAGTCCTCAGACTGGTACCTTAATAACATGGCTTGGATATTTTAATTCAGTTATCAATCCATTTATTTATGCATATTGTTCAAAACAATTTCGTATGGCTTTTTGGAATATAACATTTGGCATTTGTATTAAAAAATCGAAGTCTATATCGATCACTTCAGTTAAAACTCAGCAAGTAACGCGACAACATACAAATAGATGATTTTCTCTTTCTTTGCTGTCTATTTGTATATAAATTTTTTTTCTTGTGTTTGAGCCCGGTTATCTTTTCTGGTGTTTTTTGGTTTTCTTTTATTCTTTTATGTATAAGAAAAATAGTGATGAAATTTTTCATTGAACATAAAATACAATAAAAACTTGTGTGATTCAGTCAATAATAGATTTTCTTTCGTTTTTTCTAATCATACGTAAAGAGAATAAAAAAGTAAGTAATGATTAATTAGCTTTACGCTTAATCCAAAGAACTAGTTTGATTAATAAACGATGAAGACATCTAACAGCTGAAAAGCGAAGAAGATGGCTAATCTAGTTTGTCAATGATTAGGGTGAGAAGCGAGAGTGATAAATAAACGTTCCACACATTTAATTACAAATTCCACTTAGAAATCTAAAGACATGTTTCTACAACAGAGCTGGTGTCATTTCTTTACCAGTTTCCTAGTTCATGACGCAGTCTTTCCTGACTAATCGTACCATGTTCCATAGAAGGAACTTTTTCAGTTTATGTCTCGCCGTGTACAGTTCAGATGGAGTACCAGTAATTCAAAAATCCGTTTGAATTTTCAAGCAAATGTCTTCGCACGATTGAATAGACTATTTTTTTTTGAGCTCTATAAGACAATATTGAAGATACAAAAAAAGAATTAAATATTTTCGTGAAACTACAAATAACCAGGAAAATTTTAAAAGGCAGCATGAAAAACCGAGAATTTTTTCATGGCAAATATTTACTCAATTTTCAAAGAAAATGTTCCTTTTCAGAATGCGGTTTCTCTTTCAAAACTTTCAGTAAGTGATTTTTTTTCGAATCTCAGTGCAAAAGCACTGATAGACACGTCACTTAACTTATGCCTGTATCGGTAATATTGCATTCAGAGCATAAAGCATCATCTTTCGAAAATATTACACAATAAAGCAATACATTTAGAGAATGAAAGAGTTTTTTTTGTTTTTAATTGGCCATTCTACTTCAATAAACATCGTGATCAGGTTTTTATTTTCATTTCGAATTTTTCCAGTCGTTGTCAGTTCGAAAAAAAATTAGGATAATATGTTGTTGGACGCATGCTGTTAAACAGCTCGACAACTTCTTTCTAACCGCACAGCCATGCTACATCAAAGAAATCTGGTTGACTATTAATATTTTGCATTTTGTTTACGGCACCTCAAACCATTCATTTGAATTCAAAATGTTGTTTTAGACGAAGTACAAGAGAGAAAAGAATGCAAGAAAATGAATTCTTTCAGAATTTTGCTGTTCATCCAGAGAAAATATAGTACACACATATACAGCTGATGAATGGGATGAACTTCAGAGATCGAAATGTAAAAACTATACCAATCATTCTCAATAATTATGTAACACGCATGAAAGTTTTTTGTAAAAATGAAATGATTTATTTAAAACTTCATAACAGTTAATTAACAGAAAACTGTAAGAAAAAAAGTAAACCTACCGTTTTAACATAATGCATGTATTTATATCTAAATTTTGGATAAAACTCCTTCGACAGTTTGATGTAAGTCAGAAGAAATAAGCTTTCCTATGAATAAATACTTCACTCATGATGACGGATGCAACTAGAATAATTGATAGTAGCAGTCAAGTCAATAATACTTGTTGACAGAATAATCTATTTTTAAAAATATCATAGATGTTATAAAGATTCAATCTGAGTTCAAAAAACTGTAAACTATAAAAGCAATTTTTCTATATAATTTTAATGTTGTGCCAAAAAAAGAATGAATACCTATTCTCATATCAAACTGAATGAATCTATCATAGATGTTGAATTTCAAACAGTTTATCAGATGTAAAATGCTTGTTTTGAATATACCAACGACATCAGCAATCAAAAATAGTTTAATTCAGAATTGACAATTGTCAACAGTATTCTTTTTTGTTTGATTAGAGATAACCAAATCAAGTGTTGTCTGCTTCATCGAGGATTTTGTCTTGTTAGTCTTCATCTATCATGTACACAAATCAAACCTATAAATCATTTAGATGAAACCAAGAGCAATTCATGAATATTCATTCATGTCATTCTCAATGCTGTTCTCGTTTGCATATAGAGTCTTTATTATATATAATAATATTGATTGAATCAAAAAGAAAAGTTTAATCGCTTTCATGAACGAAACAACAACAAAATTTCCCTTTTAATGATTTGTAAAAGTTAGAATTCAACGGAACCTTCTCTATTTATGTAATAAAATAAAAATTTGAATTTAATGAAATGTTTGTAACGTTTAACACGGTCTTACTTGAATAATCAGAAAATGAGCTGAAATCTTTATACTAATGTTACAATGACTACAAATAAATAAAATAAAAATATGACAACAAACTATTCGATATTAGAGTGGAAGCTGTTTTAACAAATTCATGTTAAATTATGTGATTATTTGATATTCCTGGCTAGTGCTTATTTTGTGACAATCTACTGTCTGACATTGTCTTACTATAATATGACCATATAATGCAAAATACTCTCATTTCTTCTATTTAACTGATTCATATGAAGATTTTATTCTTTTGAAATACCCTTAGATGCATAACAACATAGTTCAATTATTTGAGAAACAAACTTCTATCGATAAAACTATGTAATTAATTTCCGTAGACGGAAAACGCTTTGATTCTAAAGTAAGCTAAAAAAGAGAAAGTCTTATAGGATCTATATCTTGACATTTAAAAAAAGAAAATATAAATATGATCGTCTGTTGAGAACAAATACATCCAGTACTGCTATTTTTGAACTCGTATTTTATGGGCTTTAACAGAAGTTTTGATTCAATAACACGTCGGTACTAGTAAGAAAAAAACTTTCTTCACAAAAAAGTCTTGTGATCTATTTTGTCGTGAAACATATTTTTGGTAGTGAGGCGTAAATAATTCTATTGTGTATTTATTCCCCAATGAAAGTTCTTAATAGATACGTAAACTTGATCTTCGAAGATGATTAAACTCATTCGTATTTTCTATGGAAATTACCTTCAGATGTGATGAAGGATTTCTACTTCAAGCTATTTGCTATGTACAATTCAATATTTACTTTTGAAAGATGTAATTTATCCTCAAAAACATTTTCTAAGGTGACTTAAACAAAAATTTGTTATTTTTCAGCACTATAAACAACAAAAAGAATTGTAACTAGCGGTTTAAACCTATAAATATGCTGCAAAAATAAATTATGATTTGATCGTAACTTTAGTATGAACTGTACGAATTTCAAGTAATCTGAAACCTATATATTCGACTCTTGTGGCTTCGCCATCTATGCTAGTTTTTTATTGGATTGTATAAAGTACCATTCCGTTACTTCTGTGTATATGTAATGTTTGGAACAAAGTAAACAATTGATTTTTCGTTCTTACTCTTTTCTCGTCATCAAAAAAAAAACAGTTGTATTTTTTTAAGAGATGAAATGAAGCTGGTTGTATGTGTTATCATCGACAAAGAAGTGGATGCCTTACTTCTCGTAGAGCAAACTCTTGGTCGCGGCTATTGGTTTCCGTTTGATGAAGTCAAGCAAAGTGAAACACGAGCTATTGCTGCTAAACGAATAACTAGCAAAGTACGTTTCTGATTTCCTATTTATTTTTAATATCTTTGTGACTGTATTTAGTTATGCCCATATGATTTTGAAGTTGTTAACGTACTTAAGATTCGTTGTAGTGATCTATTACCATGTTTACCAAGTACACAAACATATTATCTTATCACTAAGGGACGCTTGGTAATAGTAGATTTTTAATTAATAAAAAATTAAATAAAACAATTTATATGTTTGTCAGGCGCGTGCAAATGGATCTAACTTAGTAAATTCGATATGGATGAGTTTTGAACGAATGAAAACAGCCATTAAAAATCGAGAATTACTTGGGCTTGAACCTTATTATTTATTAAAAAATATTCTTGAACGCCAACAAGTCAATGGTTGGGGTAAAACAATCAGTTTATATATATACATATATTTATTGATCAGTCAACATTTTTTATTGATTTTATTTAGATGATTTCATATCCGGTGGACAAATATTTGAAGAATCCATCCTACAATTTATTGATTGTAAACAACCTGATCCAAATAATCAACTAATTGCTTCACCACAAGAACAACTTATGGGTTCTGCCAAATTTAATATAAAAAGTAAATTAAAGTGGCATTCATTGACATGAATAGAATTTCACTTTTGTTTATTTTATTTTAGTACAAGAACGTATTTTTAAAGAATTTTATTCATATACCTTTCCTAGTGAATATATGAGTTTTCAAGCATTTGTCGAAGGCATGGATAATAAGTTATCTACAGGAGAAAAAATAAAGATACAAGCTTATTTTCGAGCTTTTGATGCTCAACAAAAATCTTATTTAACTTATTCAGATTATTTACTTGGTCTGTTAATTCATTGAATTATGATTAATTGAAAACATGATTGTTTTTCCTCATTTTAAAGGATTAGCAGCGATGGATCCAAGTACTTCTCATGGGGGTAAAAATTTAAATTTATATTATATTATTCATATGATAATATTAATTTTAGGCGCTCCTGCCGAACAACGTTGTCGATATATATTTCGTTTTTATAATCTAAAAAATACTGGAAGTATGACTTTGGAGGAATTTCGGCAAGTATTATTTATTTTAAAGCCAGTTTGAGTATAATCATTGTTCTTTAAAAAAGAAACGCTTTTTTTAACGTACGTTTTATTCGTTCAAAAATTAAGAATGTGTTGAATATTCGCATATTGAATAATGAAAATTATAATTTTAATAGAGAACTTCATACTGATGTTTACACTCTCCGAGCTGGTAAAACAAATAATGATACTCCACCAAACAGTGAAATTCTTTCTGCTTTTAAGTATGTAAGATGATTATCTATAGATATTTTCTAACATTTAATATATATTCTAGTTCTTTTAACGTGCAAAATAATAGTCTATTACAATTAACTGATTTTTTAAATTCTGTTGGTCAATTAAAATATCGTGGAACATCTGTTCTATTTCGTCTCAGTACTAATGTGCAAGATTTATTACGAATGTGCAGGTAAATATTTTCTTTTTCAATGTCTTTTTTTTTCTTCATCTGAATAAGTTTAGACGATATAAAGATGTGAAAACAGACAACCAACTTGATCGTGGTAAGAAAAAACAAGGACTTCAATTTTGAATAAAAATTAATAAATTAATGTTTGTTTGACTTTTTAATATATATTTCAGGACAGTCAAATGTAAATTATGAAATAGCTGATCATTGTGTTACACTGAAAAAATCTGGCACACTTGCTCAAGTCGAATCATTACGTTCAATGAATCGTAGTGATCAATTAAGTACAACAACAGAAAATGCATTGAGAAATTTACCTCGGTCACCGTCCGAAGAAATATTTGATCGAGTAAGAAAATATTCGCATTGTTTATTGTTTTATGAATATTCGTTTTGATAATTGTAGAAAACAGTAGCAACGGATATTCAAGATTTATTACGTTTCTTTGAAAAACGTGATCAAACAAAAGATGCTTTGATGTGGACACCGAGTGCATTCATCAATTTAGCGAAAAATGTCGTTAGTTTATGTAGAGAAGTGAGAGAAATAATTCGACGTGAACCACGATGTGTTAAATTAACATCACCTTGTTATGTACTGGGTGATATTCATGGAAATTACCAAGATTTAGTTTGTTTTGAAAAATCTCTCTGGCGTGCAACACCACTTCTATCGCCAGCATCATTTCTATTTCTTGGTGATTATGTTGATCGTGGTATTCATGGACTTGAAGTAAAGATTTTTTAGTGAAAAATTTAACAGATTTTTTAATGACAGAAAAAATTTCTCTTTCAGGTTATTATTTATTTATTAGCAGCAAAATATCAATGTCCAAAGAAAGTGATACTGCTACGTGGAAATCATGAAATAAGAAAAGTGCAGCAAATGTTTAGCTTTTTCAAGTAAGCTATCATTTCAGTGAAGTTGTTGTTGAGAAATAAATCTTTTTGAGCTTTATAGAGAACTTGTTTTTTTATATAAACGAAGAGATAAAACTAAAAATTTATTTTGGAGAAAATGTATAACAATAGGTTTTCGCATTTCACCACAAACGATAATGTTGAGTAAGAAAATCGTGCTAAAGCACTATAATAATACTGTTTATGTTATATTAGACTCAATTTTCCACTCAACTTTCCCCGCTCAGTAACTTAATTTGACAATATTTTATGCTGTAAAAAATTGATTTTGTTTTCAAACAAAATCAATATTGGTGAGGCTAGTCCTTTTTTGTTCACAAACTCCATAATTTAAGCAGCTTGAAAAGATTATAGAACGTATGGAATATGTCACTGACCGAGCAAAAAAATTGATTCTCTTTATTACGCTTTAGCTAAATGAGTTCATACTTTTATATGAATAGAAGATTTTCTATAAGTCATATATATAATATATCAAAGGGTATTACAAGTAAGTAACAAATTTCTCGACAACTGTTTTTATGTGTAAGATTGATATTATGACGGCAAATAATATCTATTAAAGATGCAAATTATTTAATGAAATTTTAAAATACCATTTTGGTAATGTTTCTCTTAAGAATATTCTGCTATCAATACTAAAATTGTCAATGCATTCAGTCAAAGTATGATAGAAATATTCAATACTATATTTATTCAGTGATTTACTAAATTTCTTCTATACATATAAGAGTTACAGATATTCCCTTCCATAGGCTAAGAATAAATTCTTTCACTAAATACTTTGCCAACCACTTTTGTTTTCTTTTCTCTTGAATTTAAAGTCATATTGCACACTTAAAGCACTTCCTGCGTACCAAGTGTTGTTCACTGGAATTTTGCTTAAGTAAATTTTATAAAACGCATTTTTAAGATTAAATCAACATATTTATCTGACACCTACACATAAATTGTTTTTGAAATATCTGAAACATTGTGTTTAATTCTTGTTATTGTTAAGCATTCATGAATTACCATAAACTATTCTGTCCATAGAGAATGTATTGGCAAATTTGGTGATATACTTGGTAAAGAAGTATGGGACTCAATCAATTCGGTGTTTGATGTATTACCACTTGCTGCAGTCATTGATGATAAAGTATGCCACTTGTGTAATTCATATCAGCGTCATAATCAATATTTTTTAATATCTTGTAATAGATTCTTTGTTTACATGGGGGCATTCCAAGTCCTACATCTTGTCCTGGTGATTTCATTTCTACTGTGAATGATGTCGTTGTACCGTTGATTGATCCTGAAAACGAATCACCTTTAGCCTGGGAAATAATGTGGAATGATCCCTTCTCAATTGATACAAATACTATTGGTCAAATACCTAATGGTGCTAACGGTGGTTTTTTTAATAATACACGAAGAAGTACTGGAAATTATTTTACATGTGAAGCACTGCTAGCTTTCCTCGATAAGAATAATTTTACACATGTTATACGTGCTCATGAAGTACAACAAGTTGGTTTCAAAGTAATAGAAAAAAAACAACTTCAGTTTATTTAAAAAAATGAAATATATGCTTTACTTCATCGAAAAACTCTAGGTACAATTGAGTGGCCGTCTCTTAACTGTTTTTTCATCATCACATTACTGTGGTGGAACAAATGAGGCCGCAACTGTACTTGTTGATTCAGCAAAATTACGATTAATCAGACTTGATACAACATAAAAAAAATACAAAAGAAAGTGACTGCTGCTTATACTCATATATTTCCGCATTGTGATCTAACCGATTTATCCGTTTTCTTTTCGTATCTTCCTTCATTGATCATGTAACAGTTAGAAATATCTCCTACAGCGCACGCATCTTTGTGTTTGTTTTAAATCTCTTATTTTTTTACTTGAACTTTATTGCACATTTGTTTTCTTGTTTATTATCCAAGGAGGTTTTTCGTATATGATCGCCACATCACTTATCGGCATCATCTCTCTGATAAAATACTTCTGAAAATAGCGGAAAAAGAAACAAATAAAATGAGAACTTCTTAAGATAGTTAGAAAGTTTTCTTTTCTTCTGTCTTATGATCTTTGCTGTGCTCATATTTATTGAATGCTGCTCGCTTGATGTTTAAATGTATGTCCATGCCTGTGTCTGTTTTTTTTGTTTATGTTGAGCGACTTTTGTATGTTTGTTTTTCTCTTTTTTTTTGTGATCATTTTCGTGCATATGAACGCGCTCACACGTGTATGAAATTGTATATGAAATAAGAAATATAGGTGGGTTTAAAAAAGACAACAATGAATGAGATATTCATTATGTTTAGAAACATCTTAGTCTGATTAAATATCCATATAACATGACTCATATAGAATACTCATATGAAGAGTATTAACTTTTTCACAGTATCTAGGTCATCCTATTTGGGCTCGATTATTAAAAACACCAATTTCAATAGGTCAGTCCCATGTAAAACAATTGACGTGAAAAATCAACACATTTTTGATTATAATCGATTCGCATCACAAATAATTGATAAAAACCGAGCAATTATGATTTTTTTCTGATTAAATTGAAGGCTAATCGATTTTTTTAGAAGTTGATTAGGAATCAAAGATTTTTCATCAATTATAATCGATTTTTTTACTTTAATCGCATAAAATCGATTAAAGCGACTACAATCGATTGTCTATGGTTTTTATTAATCAATTAGAATTGATTTTCATAAGTATTTTATTATTTTTTTCGCACTTAAAATCCACAGCAATTGATTCGTTTCTCGAATCGATTATAACTATTGAGATTAGATTCGTTTAAAATAAACTCCTACTACTAATCATATATTAGAATCAATTTTGCTTTTGAATGCATTATAGAGCGAACTGAATTGTATGTAGGTTAAAATAGTTAAATTCAAAACCCAACTAGGAGTTAAGTTTGAGAGAGGTTATATTCAGATTTTCCCGTTTGGTATCGCACGTAATATTCAAGTTTTTTTCTTTATGTATTGTGCTATCTTATTCTGAAACTTTGGCCTTCATCAAGTCGTAGTTAGGGAGTTCACAACCATTATAACGTAGAATAAGCGTTCTTGTCGGAGATAATTTATGTTCTTACATGAGTACTTATCGGATAGATTTCCTGAAGTGCAGAACACTGCAGCGGCGCTTGTCTGAAACAATTTGGGCTGCGTAACTGATGCAAATGTAAATTTCTTCATGATTAATATTTATCAATCGCCAAGGCATATAATTTTTGCTTATATATTCATATATCTCATACTTGAAACTTGGATTCAACTGAAACTTCAAGTTTCAAATTTAAACCTTCGAATTTCAAGCTTCACCAAATCTGATTTTGACTAAACTACATCTCAAGAACAGCTAATTCCATCGTGCTAAAATTTTCTTTAGATTTACAAACCAGTAAGGTCTATACGCTCAACAAATATCAGCTTCACCAATTCAACCATAAGGGCCCCATGGATCCCACCAATGATAAGATCCAAGTGTGGCTTTGAGGAAAGCCGGACATGCCGGTCTATACACACCCACACACAACATGACAAGTGTGGGTGTGAAGAAAGGCGGACACGCGAGTCTACCTGCACAGGCACACTCCACACCCTTCCTATGCGTTACACCGGAATAAATCAAGAAACAATCCAATTATACAATATAATGCAATGTTATAAGTTCCATAGGAAGAATATCTGCTAAATGATTTATGCCTAAAATTAAAGCATTTGACTTGCCATAAAAGTGAACGAAATAAAATACATTCTAATTTTGTGAAGCACTATGTAAACTACCTATTTATAGCAACTTCATACAAAGCAGAAAGAAAGAAAACAATGACGAAATGAAACGAATTCATAAATCAAGCTCATACAATGCACTCAAGCTTTTCATCCGCACAATCGAAAGTATACAGAATGGAACGCACAATAGTCAAAACACACTTACGTTCACCGTCGACTACGCAACGAGTCAATGAAAACAATCCAATACACTACCATGCGAAAAAAATTGCCTATTCGAAGGCAACGTCGGAAGATAGATACTCATACTACCACATATACTAGAACACTTAAAACCACTACAATTCAAAACTAACAATCAGACGCGATTTTCTTAATTGCTGCTCTCAATAAAACACATTCTTCAGCAGCAATATTAGAACCCCACACAAAAGAAATCAAAATCTGTTAGCGTCAGTAGATGACACTCACTGGCGCAAAGCGTTTCTTCGTGTTATCGGTTGCTATAATCTCTATTTTGATTTGTTACGGCATATTTCTACTATGACTACTCCGTGATTGATTTTCGTTCGCTATTACGCAGTTGTTGGTTTTTCTTCTTCCCGGTTATTATCAGTGCTATTGTTTATTATTAACATCTTCTATATTATTATATTCTTCACTGATGATTATTGTCATACTTCTTCATTAGAAAATATAATATATTAAAAAATATCATTCTATTAAATGTATAACCATGTTACGACAACAAAGTACAGCAGCCAGTCTATGTAAGCTATCTAATTGCTTAGCAGACTAACTATTAGTTCTACTATTATACATTCCCCAAATGAGAGCCTTTACAAAATCGTCCATCCAAAAACATTTTAATTCCACTAAACATATTTATACACATTTCTCTAAAGTCTATACGAGAATTATGACTATCTGACAAGCCTGACTTACTACAATATCAACGTTCTCAGTACATTTGACTTCGAAAATATAAATTTTGTAGCTTACAAAAAACGAATATCTAAATCTATTCCTGAATCATAAATGGGAGTGAAGTCGATTTGTAAATTTCATAATTTGTAAAAAAACCAAGTCTTTTCCCGGCGATGGCGTGAAAACATGAAAGTGTTTTTTTTCATTTATATTCGAAGTCGAATTAAGCAGCTACCCAGGTCGAACATTCCGGTCACCGGATCCCGTAGGATACTCCAAGAAATATGCGGGAAAGTCACCAAATGCTGCAGAAAACACGGGAAATCACTGGGACATGGAAGCAGTATTCCTGTCAAAAATCCGGCCGGACTATTCCGGCGGATTCCTGTCAAGTTCCAGTGCTTTCTGGCAGGAATTGATCGGAAATCACCAGAAAAAATCCGAAAATTTTCCAACTGGTATACTGCTTGCACAAAATCAACGGGACTACCCGGAACCGGTCGCTTCCAGGCCGGACTGTTCGACCTGGATTACTCCTGTAATGGTACACTAAGCTAGTTACTATGGTCTGTAATTGGCAAGTATTGCTTTTTTAGTGCAGGCTGTAATTGAAAAAGGAAGAAATACCAGTATAATTACTCAAACTCCTAATTAGCACAATTTTAAACTCATTAATATCTGTATTGGAGAGGAGGATTGGGTTGGGAGCCGCAAAAATCTCGCTTTTAAATTTACACTCATCATTTTCTTCGAAAATATATGTGAGTTCCACAAAAATGATGGAACAACCTATTTAGATTCGATATATGTAAGAACAAGACAGAACCTGAGACGCTGAACAAGGTTTTTTATGCACATGAACAACGCGATTTCAACATATATGACCTGGTTTGAATTTAGAACAACGATTCAATTATCTGGAAAATCGCATCGAAAATCTGATGTAATACACGATAGCCTGAAACATGAAACCCCTTTCAAAGAAAAAAATGTAACACTCTTTACCGTACTTCCCATAAAAGTAATTGATTACACAAAACCTCCACATTCCTGGGTTATAATACAGGTTTCCTTTTAATACAAAGTTGAGTTGATTTTTCGTTATTTCTTCCTTTCGCTTCAAAACGAATATTAAGGATAAATTTTGTTTTGCTCCATTGATTCAAATGGAATATGTTCAAATTTGTTGTTCGTTTTGATAGCGATTGTTTTCGTTGATGTCTTCCTTTTTCTCGGAGAGCAGTATCACCAGTTCGTTTCCCTAGTCAACTTCCCCTAGAAGAATCTCCAGATAGTCCCTAGGAATTTCGCTGTTTAGCGGGGATTCCCCGGGGAGTTGTCTGGGGAAAATGGATGAAATATCTAATTACTTAATAAATTCTTTTTAATTTTTTTAAATTTAAAAAATTAACGAGTTTTTTTTTATTTAGATATCTCATCAATTCTCCCCAGGCAAATCCCGGATTCTCCCCACGGAGTCGTCAGGGGAGAGTGGAATAGAGTTAGCAGAAAATAAGGAAGTAGAAGTATATTTTGTTGAGGAAGTAAAAATGCTGAGTAATGTAATTTATAGAATATTGATGAATTTTTGAGAGAGTACTTTCATGAAAGTAAAAATTAGTCTAATCTTGCTAATTGTAAATCAGCGTTACTGGAAGTAGTTGATGAGATGTTATTATGTGTCTGATGTCAATCTCAAACGATCACAATTACTTTGAATCAGATGTTAGTGTGATTTGTGATTGATTAAAAACAGATAAAAATCAACTGAAATTTGTTCTAAGCGGTAGTATTGGGAAACAACTGTGGCACCGATTATAACCGATTTTAGCTAATTAAAATCTATTATAATCTGATTTTACCCTTATTTGTTTTTACATGAGGTTAAAGTTAGTAAAAAACGGAAAAAAATTGATCCCATGTTTAGTCGCTAGAAAGTTATTTTTCTGGAAAGTAATGCAATTGCAATATACTGTACAGCTGAAATTAGAATGCTTTTGTCGGAAATCTCTATATTTAAATTTTCGAGTTTATATATCAGTTCAATATTTTTGTTAGAGACTAACTGAATGAGGAAGTTGTGAATGGCAATTATCTGTGTAACCGTTTGAATGATTACTTATCATGTATTCTAAAAAAAATAAAATATATTTTCTCAACAGTTCTGGTAGCAGCATGCTAAAGATACAAAAATAAATTGCAAGAATTAATAGAACTCAAATGTTTACTAATGATTTAGATATCGGTCAGTATGTTGTCTGTTTATTCGTTTAGATAAACAATTGAATTAATTCTCATGAGTAAATAAAAATGTTTGTGTACTAAAGTCATATAAACATGATTGAGTATAGATAATTTGATGGATTACCTATGAGTGAACGTTTGCAGCTATCCAACTGATCTTTACCTAAGTGTATTTGCTATTGATGATAACGGTCAATGATAAAAATTTAGCTATATTTCGCTTTTAAAAGTATACACATTCACTTAAAATCTAGCTCTATGAGAATTGCATTGCAAAAAATCTATGGGTTTGTAGTTGAAACTGTTAGTCATATCAAACATTTCATTGTTGCAATATTTAAACTTTAAAGAACATTTTTTGTTTTGTTTTGGATAATCTGTATGACAAAAGAAATTCGATATCCAAAACCCTTTTCTACAATGAGTTACACGATATGCACCTACTAGAGAAGTTTCTTGGCATTTTCTATGAGCTTCTAAAAACTTTCTCTTAAAACCAACTTTTTTAAAGATTTATGTTTCACTGGGTTGTTAAATATACGTATATATGGTATGCTTGTTTTCAATATCTACTAGTATTTTTACAATAAAATAAATATTTGGAGAAGATGAAAAATGCGAAAGGAAATTAGTTAGGTTTATTTTTCTTGAATAGCTCTTTTATGTGTTCGACTGATGTTGTAAAGGTTGATTAAAAGTGAAAATGTATTTCATATTTGAGAAGAATTGTTTCCGAAATTGTGTTGCAGTTATAAAATATGCGTAAAAACCAATACCAAAATAGATTGAACTCCATAGAAGAAGAAACGCTCTCATTAATGCATATGCTTTATAACTGTCTGATGCTTCAGAGCCATAATAAACAGTATAAATGTTAAATGGTGTTTGTGTTATTATATATGATATTATATTTGTAAAAACCATTAAAAGTAACATGCGATCGAGCGTTTTTGCACGATTTTGATTGCCAGTATGTTTTACATTTCGGGTGGATTCTGGAATCGCAATAGTAGCGATAGCTGCATTTCGTACCATTTTTTGTTGTGCAATTCGTTTTTTCACTCGTTTAATATTATAAAGCATACGTCCACCAAATATACCCATAAGAATAACTGGGATTATACAAATTAATACAAAACGAACGGATGGCATAATGGTAAGAATTATTAGACGAAATGTATCGTCATATGGAAATGAACATTGGTCATTACTATCCATAACATTGCGTGGATCAAAAAAAATTGCATATAATAGCATGTAAAATAAACAATAGATCACACAAAGTTTAGCAACATTCATTGTTGTACACCAGATACGTGATTTAATTGGATATTCTGAGCGTAGAAAACGATCTAATGATACAGTAACCGCTAAAAATGAGCAGATTGAACGTGTTACATTTTGTAACCACAGTATGAATTGGCATCGAAATATACTGTTTCGAACAAGTACGAAGCCAGAAATGGTTGCAATAAATTCAACAATTAATGAAAACAGATGAATTGTACTGAATATAGCCAGTAGTAAAAAAATAAGACCGGTTGACACTTTACGTACTTCTTTTTGCATGAAAATGAACAATGATAAAAAGTTTCCAATAAATCCAGCAGTATAAATTAATACTCCTAGAACAGCTGCAGTTATATGCAATCCTTCCATTATCTTTGATAAGCTTTGAATGGTTCAAAATGTTTCATCGCTTATTGCTCTCTTTTTTTAACAAGAGCTGATTTTTTTGCTCGTACGCGTTTTTCTATGGAACGTCAGTTTAATTGAAAATAATGGTAGATATGAACAGTTTGAACTCAGCGGTAGTATTTCTTTGTCACATTCTTGACACTAAATGAAGCTAAGTATGGAGTCAAAAGAGATGATATTTTATAGATCGACTTGTAATTAAGAAAAGTCTTTCAGTCTTGGCATGCATCGCTCCTGGATATCTTAAAATGCTTAATGGAAATAGTTTTTTTTCAAGTTCTCAAGCTGAACTATACTTGATTTTAACTTTTGTTGCAAGTCAGATCGAGTTCATAATTCTACTCATTAAGATATTCTGCACAGTACAGCACAAAATGCATTGAATTTGATGATATTATTACAAAAAGACTAGAATAGTCTTATATACTACTCAATTTTTCTTGCAATATTGTTGCAGAAAGAAATTGATCCGATGAAATTATTTAAAAACAAAGGAGGTACTACGAATAGAAATAAAAACAAAATATTGTTCCGATTGTCCTGATATTTGAATTGGGAAGTAGTTTGTGAAATAATGAATTTTTGTACTTCAGCATTTTCTGTTTTTCTGCTCGAAAGAAATTTAAAATAAATTTAAGCCAAATATCGTCACAATTTATACCCAATCAGACAACCGTTGAAAAAAACGGTGTTTTTACGCATAAAAAGCGCACATTTTGATCCGTTAAAACGAGTTTTTTTGTTTCGAATCAAATGACCTTCTCAATGCTGTCATTCGCAAGCTTCCTCAATTTTCTGAAAAGCACTCAAACTTCATGAAACACTGAAGTGTGCGCTTTTTGCGCGTAAAAAACATCGTTGTTTCAACGCTTGTCTGACTGGGTGGGAAATATAGCATATCAAAACAATGAAAATAGAAATGGCATTGAAGAATAGTAATGAAAAAATAGGATAATTTCAATCTTTTTGTGTCTGTTAAATGTTCTTTTAGGACAATTAAGATTAAAGCCGTCATCGTGACTTTAAACCGACATTATATTAGTAGCTTATGCTTAACATCAATATGTAAGGCAATGCTAGCAGAGATTGAATTCCAAATATCGTTGACGAGTTTTATTGAATGATTCAGTTCGATCTTTGATAAAGTCAAGTTAGTAGAAGTAAAAATATGAATGTTCAGATGTTTTTTTACATGAAATACTTGAAAGAAAAATTTCTACTATAATTCGCTCCATAGTCTTGATTAAATCTGAAACGCTTCATCTTCTCTTTATTTTATCGAAGCTTTTTGCCAAACTTAATCGAATAATATACTTTTTCTTTAATATAAACACCAGAAATATGCATGTCTACGTATTATACGATCCCCAGTACTTTTTCAGTAAAAAATTTAATTTTAATTTTATGAGATAATGTTTTGAACTCTATCGTAAAGAAATGTACGTGAAACTAGATTCAATTCATGGCTTTTGTGTAGGACGTATCTTCTTTTAACGTTTCATATAACTATTTATACTACAATATGCGCTACTATCAATTACAGTTAATTGCCACCAGTTTGATAAACTCTATTAATTTAGATAATTTAATATATTTGATAATACAACCAGTTTCAAGACTATGAATCATGCCACATGTTAAAATAAAAAGGTCTACAAACTAGCCAACAGGACATGATCACACTAGTTAATGTGAGTAAATCGCAGGCATATATCTGATAAGATATATTTACCTCTTTAATGAGAATATTAGAAAATATGTTTACTTATTGTAATCTCTAGTCTATCAGATTAGTTTTCTCAAATCATTTTTTTTTGTTTTCTAAATATGATAAACATTCAAATATAAATGGCTCAATATCTAAAATAAATTGTTGCTAAACCTGACAAGTATATAGAAGAGATCAGAAAATATTTGCCAAATATGAGAAATTTTGACTAAAATAATTTGAAAGATCTACTCTTGAAAATGCTTTGTTTAAACGTCCAATTAAACTAATAAATGAAACAGTCGACATTAAGATCAATTTTAATTCTAACTGACATAAATAAATTATTATTTATACGCTTAAATGTATTAGCATTAATTGAACTATCTATCAATAGTAATAACACAAAAAGAAAAATATCTGATATGATAAGATAATACTCATGCTAGATTGTTAGATCATCTGAATGATATTCATTTTGTAGATGATTATCACAAAGAAAATCATATTTTTAATAATGCAATCATAATCAAATCGATAATAAAGGAATTTGGCAAATGTTTTTATGAGATGCTCATTTTCTTTTCATCAATAGGTAAAACAACGATCTTTGCTAGAATATCGAAATCCATTGTTCAACCATCTCACGTCGGATAGACTTCGAAATTTTCCGTTTAAACAAAAACCTTTTACCCCGAAGATGCATAAAAAAGAAGGAGAAGATTTTTTCATAAAGTCAAATTTTTATTACTATTCTCTTTCCCGATTCACATAATAGATTAACGTATATACTCAATTGAACACACTTTTCTCAATGGTAAAGATGGCAATGAATAGCATCAATTTATACAGGCATCAAGCTCTCCGTCTCAAAGTTGAATCCTTTCTTTAAACGATCACTAAATCGTTTAGATTTATATATTTAACAATTTTTCATTAAAAGCAACAAGATATACTCATCACATTCAATTATCAAATGATTCAGAAATATATACATATATATATCAATTTATTTTTAATTAGAATTTAAGGTAATCGTCCTTTTTTATGCAGGAACCACATCACACCAAACATTAATGATGCTTCTTTAGCTTTAGTTTCATCAAATAAAAATTGATAAAGCTCATCAACATGAACTTCGTGTATAGCAATAACTGTAAATAAATCAATAAAAACTATATCAATATTTATCATTTTATCTTACATTCAAATTCCGATAAATTTCCACCACCGGCATTTGTTTTCATTTCATTTGTTACTTCAACATAGAAAAGTTCTTGAAATGCACCAGCTATACCGATACCCGATCGATATTTGGCTACAGATTCAATTGAATTAATATCAACTGAATAACCACATTCTTCAAGGAGCTCAACATGTGCATGTTCTTTATTAGATAAATGCTTTTTATCAATAATGCCAGCACAAAATTCATAAGTAATAGCAGATTTTGGATTTTGTTTTGTAAAATCAATATCAGCTATGAACGAAGCATTCTGTGCTTCTTTACTCATCATAACATAAACAGCAGGACGAAATTGCCGGACAAAAACAAGAGAATCAGTTGATCGATTGTAAACAATAATAACAACAGAATTCTATAATGAAATAAAATTGGTCAAAAAAATGCATCAACTAGAAAACAATTGAACTATTTATTGATGACTTACATGAGCATCAATAGCATCCCACATACGTTTTACTGGATTATTATTACGTTCATCAATAAATATGGCTCGAAAAGGACGAATGTAAGTTGAATCTTTTGGTAATTCTCCAATTTGAAAATCTTTTATGCGACATAAGTCTTCATCAGTTAAAACATTGTCTTGACTTGCATTTTTAATTGATTCTTGATCTTGCTTTTGGCTGGCAGACATGTTTGAATTTTATAAAAACAAAATAATAATAAATGAATGTTTATTTTAATCATTGCGCAATCTTAAAAGAATGATTCATTATTTAAAATAAATGGCTAATATATGCACCAATCGTCGAGTAAACGTTTTATGCAGATTCGATGAAAAGATGACCAAAATAATAGAAAAAAATCTTTTTTTATTATTCATATTTGCAATGAAGTTTTCGACCAATAATTTATATACAAGACTTAGAAGAAAAAAGTTAATTTATTTTGTTTTCTATTTTGTAAACAAATTCATTGTGATTTAAATATTTCAATTGATATTTTCTAATCCGTTGAATTTCCATAATAACACAATAAATTTGACAAATAATTATAAAATATTTTCGCTACGACGATAAAATTCAATTACAGAGTAGCAGTTATTTCCTTTTTCTTTGTTATAACTGAAGTTATAGATTTTAACTGTAAGTTTAATGATCTTCTTAAATTCTAAGTCTAGATAATATGATATAGGTCTCTTCAAATAGAAAACGTAGTGCAACTTGATGAAATAAGAAAGAAATATCGTGAACCGAGATGTCCCAAAACTAATTCGATATTGAACGATCTTTCATCATTGAAAAAATCTTGGGCAAATTTTGCAGCCGCTTTAGTGTGGAACATTGCCAAGAAATTCCTTCATTCCCAGAGTATATACGCATATATACCAAAAAGAGTCCGTATACTTTTATCTTAGGACTCATGAAAAGCTGAATCAAGATCATATATCCACCCAAGAAACGGTAGAATATAGCACATATCCTTGTGGCGTGATAAAATACAAAATATATGGTCTACAACTGTAACATCCGTACCTACGTATTTAGATCTCTCTTTTTCATCGAGAAATTGACAGAAAATCTAGTGACAATAGAAACAATATGAGCAGACAAAGAATTACTGTGTCCAAGTTTTGTAGCAAAATAACTAGACGTCTACATTTTTCAACAGATATCATTAAAACCAAAACCAGCCGAGAGAGAAAGAGGTAGGCTGCATGGGTCTTAAGTTTTTAAACCGCTAGAGACTATGAATTTAATTTAAAAAAAAAGATATCTGAAGAATCTATCGTATATTAATTTCTAATAGTGCTACATGAAACTACTGCAATAAAAAAATTTTCAACTCTATTGTTGTTCATGATCGAAGTCAATATTTTTCACAGTTTAAATTGCAAAAATTAGTGAATACACTTCGATTTACATTGGCTGTCAGTGAATTTTCAGACATTAATTGAAATCCCATATCGTGGCGGCACGGCGGGAAACGACCGGAAATCGCTGGAAGGTGGAAGCAGTATTCCAACCGAAAATTCCAGGATTTTTCCGCTGGATCCCGGTCAATTTTCAGTGCTTTCCGGCAGGAACCGACAGTAAATCATCGGGAAAAACTCCAAAACTTTTCCGACCAGAATATTGCTTCCACGCTCCAACGACTTCCCGTGTTTTCCTCCTGAACATGGTGATTTTTCCGCATTTTCACGGTCGGTTCCTACAGTATTTGGTGACCGGAACGATCCATCTGGGATCAAAAATACACATTCACTCATTAAATTCAAGCATATCACCCTAAAGTGGTTTTGAACGGTATGTTGTCGGTGAATAAAAAGAACATATTCGGATTCAGTGTGGTCAGTAACTTCTGCCCTCGTTGAGATATCGAGAGAGTACCTCTGACCACAAGCCAAAAATATTTTTACAAAATTCGGTGGTAAAACAACGTACGGAACAGAACAAAAAATATATATCGCACTGGATTCGAGCCAGTATCGCATTATCGACGGTCTTACGCCGCTCAGAGCTATATGCGAATTATTCTTATTCTGTTCTGTCTCGCACGTTGTCATTAATTTATTATTCAATCTTAATTTCACTGAGTCTATATTCAAATACAATATCATCAGCTATCATCATAAGACAGGATCTTGTAACTCAAGCAGACGTATTTGAATTGATCAATTCTTTTTCAATATGTCTTCGTCTATTTGTATCAAGAAAAATCGAAACAACATTGTGACCAATAAATAAATTTTTATTTTTAATGTTGATTCATTTTTCTGTTCGAAGAGTACAAAACATAATAAGGAAAAAAGTAATAGTTTGCTTCACTGATTTCAATCTCGAATAGACAGCGAATAATTTCGAAACTGAGACATGAATCATCACATAAGTTAAGTACTAATATTAGTTTCAATGTCTGTCAAAAAATGAGTTGATAAAACATTTTACAAGGAATTTGTATTTTGTTGAATTTTACACTATCTGTTATCAACTTTTAGATTATCTTTATATCAATAGTCAATCACAAGAAATTCTATCTAATTTAATAGAAATTTTTATTGTCCTGTTTTCTACTTTTGGTTAACAGATACATATGACACATAACGCGATACTGGTTCGAATCCAGTGCGATATATGTTTTTTTGTTCTGTTCTGTACGTTGTTTTACCATTGAATTTTGTAAAAATGTTTTTGGCTTGTAGTCAGAGGTACCCTCTCGAGATCTCAACGGAAACGAAGTTACTGACCACGCTGAACCCGAATAAGCTATTTTTTTATTCACCGACAACATACCCTTCAAAACCGGTCCGGGGTGATATGTCCAATACTAACAATATATTATGTCGTTTAGATTTAGCATATTAGGAAAATTAAGACTAGAAAAATGTCGTCTGGCATATTTCTACACTTAACATATTCTCGAATGTTTTCAATGAAGACAGACGATTTTCTTTTGTTTTTTTGCATACTTCGTTTTTCTTTTATGTTTATTGTCAACTTTATTGTTTTTAAATTTTATTACAAAGAACAAAAGAAATCGGACATATTTCTTTTTCTTCCAGAGACGAGAAAAAAAGGCAGAAAATAAGTGTTTACCAATTGCAAAGCTGTACTTTTATATTTGACCAAACGAATGTGGACACGTTGGTAACATTCGCTGAAATCTATTTTTTCATGCACACTAAATTTAAATGTGTCGCAGGTTCAGTGTTGAAAATATGTTGCAACAGAAAGTGTCGCTAAAACATTTGTCTCGTTCTGCGTGTCGACTATCGATTCACCCTTTCTTTTTGCGTAAAAGGTCCTACACAGATAACTCGATTGAACACACGAAAGTTATGTGTTTTCATTTAAATATTTTTTAGATTATTTCTCGATTAATAATTAGCCGAGAGAATGCCTATCTTGGCCATTGATCTAAGTGGGACTACCCGAAAATGGTCTGGTAAAAACCGGATCGACTCGAGACTGGATAGATCTCAAGATCTGGCCTGTTTGAGTTTTCAGAAATGAAACTGTTCGATAGACCAAAATCGAAAAAATTATCATGATCTTTTTGATAAAAGTTTAAAAAATTTCTGGCTAGTGGGCTCTAGAAAACGTTTTCAGAATGTGTCGCATGTGTCGTACATTGTGTCGCAAATCACGATACATGAAACATATTTAAACTTAGTACGTGAACTCTTGAAAAATAAGAGAAACACTGATGATTCATACTATTCATAGCACATGGAGATCAAATAGCTTCGACGCGTATACTATATTATATATTTTAAGAGTAAGAGAGAGAAATTATGTGAGTAAGATGTTCTTTGTCTGGGTATTTTTCGATTTCGAAAATATAGAAAAATAAATACAGTTTTTTTTCTTATACGTATCTTTCAATGAAATAAATTAGTTCGTTACACTTTTAGAACTATCAAGATGGCTGGTGTTTCGGAGGTCGAAACTAAAATCAATTTAGAAATTGATGGGATCGAAAATAGTATAATACTGTTTGCTGCAAATCTTACTGATTATACAAATCCAGCACTCAGTCATATGCAACGTGCGAGAGAAAATATGATGGTCGGACAACCAACGAATTTAGCAATATTAAAGGTATCTTCAAAAATATATTTTTAACCAGTTTCACTGTTTCTTAATACAGTTTTCAGCTACTCCGAGATGGAATACGTTGCAAACTCGCAGTACTGCAGATATCGACCTAAATCATTGGGTACGTTTTTATATTGTCAACAACAGCGCTTTATTTCTATTTAATTAATTTTTTACATAAAGATTCTCCCATTCATTCATGAAACAAACATTGATGAAAAGATTTCGATCGACGAAAAAGTATATTTCATTGGACTTATATTCACTGAAAATTTTTGATTTATATTCGCAGGAATTTGATTTTACAGAAGAATCAAATACACAACAAATTGAACATCAAATTCTTGTAAGCAGATATTTCAGAAGTTTTGTGTTTTATTTCTACCCAGGTCGATCAACTTGTGTTGTACACGACCGTTTGACCATAATTTACGGCCGTTTGGTATGCACCGTATTACGGTAGTCTGTATCGTGCCATAAACGATCGTATACGGAAATATCCGACCACATTACGGTCGTTAGTAATCGTTTACGACACGATTAATTACCGCCGTAATACGGTGCATACCAAAACGTCAAGTTACGGCCATTTACGATGAGAAACGGCAGGAAACGGCAGTATACGTTAACGTTTACGGCCCTATACGACCGTTTCTGGTAGCCGTAATACTCGACCTAGGTATCAATGAAACTCAATATTTCAGTTGAACCGTTCAAATTAATATCAAACTTACAAAATTTTATAACAGCTTACATCAATCTAAATATCAAACAAATCATTTAAACATTAATATTAAACAAAATAAATCCAAGCCAAGATGAATTTATATCAAGCAAATCGTTTAAGCATTAATATTAGACAAAATAATATCCAAACAAAGAAGAATTTTGAACTGGACTCGAATTCACTCGCGTCCAGATCCTATTACATACGCTCCATGTTCAAACTTCTGATTGGACTGATGAAGTCTAGCTAGGGATGTGCAGTATCGGTGTACTGACCACCGACTTGCACCGATGGTGTGTCCAGTGGAGCACTGAGAACGCCGACGGTGAGCGCAGTGGAACACCGCCCACGCTGTCAGCGGTGTTACTGAACACTGAAGATAGGGACGCTGACGGCACCGATATGTTTCTGATTGACTAAAGACTTCAGTCAATAAAAAGTTGTCTGTGTGTCAGTGGCTCACTGATCATCAGTGCTTCAATGACACCGGTGCCAGTGACACTGATTACAGTGTGACCGGTGTTCCCTTGGGCGCGCCATCAGTGTAGTCGGTGCACCACTGAGCATACTGTTGGTGTAGTCGGCGATCAAGTTTTCAGTATTTACACAGGCACTGCACATCCCAAAGTCTAGTAGAGTGATATCCCATTAAGCAAGGGAATTAAGGAGGAAAATATCGTCATCATGACGACTTTAATCCAACAGTGGATGCAGATTATATGCCTAAAATCTGTATCCACTTTTTTTTGAAGCAGTACGACTACATCCTAATGATGTAGCGTACTAAAAAGATAGAAACATCAGACCTAAAGCAATACAATTGCGATCAGGGACTGATGATTCTTTGATATTATTGGTTACTGATACTAACAGATCAAGTGAATCAGTTTAGTCTTGATACAACCAATCAAACAGACAAAGATTTGGAAAAACGCATTTACACGCTCCAATTGGAACCGCGATTGTGATTCATTCATGATGTTTGAGAAAATGCAAGAAAATTGGTTTTTGTAGAAGAAATATCCCTTTCTGAGTATTTAAAAGCGATTTTCTAAGTTTTTGCCTGTTTGTGTTAATGCTTGATAGATATTCAACAAATCAAGTTTCTTCTTATATAAGAAGAATTTGAGGTTATTGGAGGGTTCAATTGCACGTACCGGTGTGTAAAGTACAGTAGTTTCTTATTTTTATTTATGTTATGTGAATGTTATCTTTTTTTTCTGTTATTTAATACATGTATGTTTATCTGTGATACAGTGCTTGTTCTTAACATTGAATTAACTTTCTTTTTTTATAGTTCTTTTACGTGAAAATTGTTTTCAAAATCATAAGTTAATGCTAACTTTTTTTTGCTGTGAAACTATCAATGTCTGACGAAATTAAATTCGAAGGCATAAATTGAACAATAAATTATCGTGCAAAGTTATGACTCACATGATCAATAAGAATTATGTGCGTAGAGATGATTGTGAAATATATGGATGCCATAATCTTATAAAGTCATGTCTGATACTATCGTCAGTTTATTCACTCAAGATTGTTCTCAACCCACGGAAAAAAAATTATACAAAACCGCGGTTTGATCCGAGAACACCGCAGTATTATTTTGATCCCATTTAAAACCGCGGTTATCAGCGGTTTTTCAAACTGCGTTCAAGACAAACCGCGGTATGCACACTCATAACCGCAGTTTTCATTATAGCGGTTTTCAACGGTTTTCCAAACCGCGGTGTACTCGATAATAACCGCGGTGTACTCGATAATAACCGCGTTTCAGAAAACCGCGGTTTGCATGTGAGGAACCGCGGTGCATATCAAAGTGTCAAGGAATCTGTAAGGACATTCGAGATGTCGTGCCCCACAAATTCTGGCAAATTTTACTTATGTCGCATACATAATATAACAACTCTACAAAGACACTTTGTGGAAATGGAGCTCGGGAGAGTTCACTACACAGCCCCTCGAAGGGCGCCACATCTGAAACCTTCAAGGTACAGGTTATGGTCGACACACCTGCTCCTGTTGAGTCTAGTCTATCGAAAAAACCGCGGTTTGAAGCGGTTTTTGGATATAACGGTTGTCAGACCATTAATGCGTTTCAAAAAAACCACCCAAAACCGCGTTTTTTTTATCGGTTTTGAAAACCGCGGGAGTCAGATCATTTATGCGTTTCAAAAATACCGCCTGAAACCGCGGTTTTCAAAACCGCGAAAGTCAGGCCATTTATGCGTATCTCTAAAACCGCGGTTCTGGGCGGTGTTAGAGATACGCATAGATGGTCTGACTTTCGCTATTCGAAAATACCGGCTGAAACCGCGGCTTTTTTGACCGGTGATTAGCGCGGTTTTTCGAAAAAATTTTCTCCGTGGGATGTAGTCAAAATATTGGTCACATTCTAAAAAACGTCTAGGAAAAATTCTTCAACTCGCAGTTATAAATATGTTGATAAGAAAACGATTAATTGTTTGCACTGTCATTCATGATATTTATGAAATAAATTGAATATGCAATAGAAGACAAACCCCAATCCTACATTTAATCTTAGCGTATATATTATTTTCTCTCACGAGATCGTGATGCCTATAATATTGTGAAAATTGTCTAAAAGTAAAAATATTTCAAATTAATTTAGCCAATCAATTGAGCAACGAGGGCGTGGGTGTGGGTGTATATCTCTTTGTGAAAACATACTCACACCCTTTTTTAAATTAATTCGAATTAATTTCAATGTTTCAATTTGTAAAAGTGTTATCTTTGATCTATAAACTAACACATGTATATTTCTTTTATGTATTGTTATATATAGTTGTACTTGTTTTTTTGCGTTGCTATTTCCTGATGATGACAATTGATAACTGTCGAAAGCTCGAAATAAATAAAAAGTTTTCAATGAAAATTGAAATATGATCTTCGTCGTAGTGTTTTACTCATGCATTGATTATTTATTTCCACCTGCGCTTCCACAAAATTATGTCTAAGCTAATTGTTTAATATATGACAAAATTGCAGACTAATTTAATTGAATCAAACAACATCGTCTTTTTATTCTTAGTTATTTTTTGATAATAGGAAAGATATTAGTAGAGAAATAATAACGAATTTGAGTATTGGATCAACAAATTGATAAGGAAGAACTTCTTTTCGCTTCATTATTTCTCACCTTATGCAGACAGTCAATAAATAAATAAATATTCGACCAAAGCGACATGACATCATGAGAAGATATTTTTGTTTCGTTCTCTCTTCCACTGTGGAAAAGGAAAAAGTAACAAAAGCACTCTCGGTTTACTAATAGACTTTTATGTAGCTAAAAATAATGAATATCGTGCTTAAAGCAACTACAACAAAAGCGCGACTTTTAAAAAATAAAGTATAGGTAATTTATTTATTCGAAATATATCGAATCTATTTGACAGGATAAGATAATGAACTCCATAGAAAGAGTCATAGCCAACAACGGTATCGCTGAATGTTCTAACACTCAAAATCGGTGTGATCCAATTGGAATAAATCTAAAAAATATTGGTTCGTTGTCTTGCATACAAGGCGTGTGTCCGAATCGTTCATTAGAAGACAAGCCATCTCAAGTTTGCCAAGTAAGAATTTACGATCGTTTTCTTAAATAGTATAAATCATTTAAAATTGATATCACTGTTAACATACTTTTTGTTTCATTTTTTACACTAAATTTCTACGCAGGAATTGGATTTCCCAAAAGATTGGGCAATCGATCAAATCAATAAAAAAATTGTAGAAAGTAATTTTAAAAAAATCTCTCTAACCATATTTATCTAAACAGTATCAATTGCTTATTTACAGATGCAACTAACGGCTACCTCAATAAACGATAAGCGTCACTGTCACATTGATTCAATTACAATTGTAATTATTTTACTGTTTCAGTCGTGAATCGTTTTTGTCTTGCTCTCTACTTCATAATTGTCTTGCCTAGAAACTCATGGTCTTCTAAAATCAATGGAGATTAGGACCTTTTAAAAAAAAATCAGTTCATTCTTTTATTTTAAATCTAACCGAATTTTTTCTGAATAATCAAAATGCCAGATTTCAATTTTAGCAAGGAACTTTATATTTTATATCTCGATACATATATGAGTTTGATAGAAACATCAACACAGCCATGTTGGTATCGATTACCCTACGAGTTCGATTGAGAAGAATTCAGAGAAATATCAGCGTGTCACGAGATTTTTATTTCTAGACACGATTGTTACAAAATTCATAGAATTCTCACAAATCCTAATTAGACTCAACTGTCAAATTAGCTCTATTGTGCATCGAGATAAACCTTGCTTTAATTCACTCAGAAAAAAAAGTGAACTGTTTTTTTTGATCTTGGTCCCTTGATATTTTATTTTCATGTAAAAGAAATTACTAAAAGGTTTGCATATTTTATTATTGTTCCTATAAAAAATCATGACGCAATGCTTGATCTGTTATATTTATTGTTCATAGTATTAAGCGTATTAATTTTTTACAATTATATGATTTTTCAATGATTTGAATAGTGTAAATATGTAATTACTTCTTAATTGCTTTGTTTTTTTACTGCATGTACATTTTTCACACCGTTTTTTTCTTGAATTTTGTGCTTTTTTTCTCTTTAATCCAGACTTTGCTAGTTTTCTATCGATTATACTATTACTTTCATTGTTTTGAACATGTTTTTATATTTTACTCCAGAATATAATAAAAAATGATTTAATCTGTATTTACATATTTGCTATACACTAGTGACATCACTCGGTTGTTCTGTTTTAAAAAATAAGAAAGGTATGATTAATCAAACGGTAAAGAAAGAAAAAGATGACCAATCAATGTTTTCAGGAAACGGTCAGTTAATTCTATACGATGACCTTGCTCGTGTCAGATAAAATTTTCTAGAGAATAGTTATTATTTTGGCTTGTTTCAATTTGATTTATATTGTAATGGTCAAACGGTGATATTTGAATTGAGCTTATTTATATATTATCAAAACAAGAATCTTCGTAATTAATTAGTATAAACTATGGTAATCATTTCGTCAACACAATTGTTTTCTTGTTTCGTTTTTCTACATATCATTCCGAGTTCGTTTTTTTTTTGAATTAACTATTTTAAAATAAAATATTGATTTTTAGGTTTCCATTGTCTTACATCAGCTGATATTTATAGTCCTTGCAAAAGACCACCAGCTTTAGGTGTTGAATCCGGTAGAATTTCAAATTCGGCTTTTTTTGCTTCATCTTTTGTAGAAGGTCGAGAACCTTTTACTGCTCGGTTAAATGGCCGTTATGGTTTGTTTTTATTTCTTTCATAATGTTTAGCTTGAAATTATTAAATTTTCTTTCTTTTAAAGCTTGGCGACCTGCTTACATGGATGCAGATCAATATTTATATGTGGATCTCGGTGCTCGATACTATGTAACGGGATTTGCAACTCAAGGTCGTCGTGCAGCAAAAGAATATGTCACACTATTTAATATCATGTATTCTGATAATGGTCATAATTGGTTTTATTACACAAGTGAAGATAAAATTATTGTGGTTTGTTGTTATGATAGAATAGTGTAACAAGAAGAAACTCGTTTGAATTATTTTAGAATTTTGCTGGTAATAAAAATGATGATGGTACTGTAAGAAATAATCTCACAGATCCAATTATAGCGCGGTATATACGTTTTAATCCAAGACAATGGAATAATTTTATTTCAATGCGTGTTGAAATCTATGGTTGTCCATTTAGTACGCAGATTTATTTTATTTTAGTTAGATTTTTTCTAAATTAATTTTTATTGTTTAGCATCTTCATCATTTAATTTTGATGGACAAACAATTGCTTATTACGATGCAACTTTTATTCCATTACATAATAGACAAGATGAACTCCGTTTACGTTTTAAAACAAATTATCCGAATGGACTATTATTTTATGCTAAAGGAACACAAAATAATGATTTTTTAAGTGTTGAACTACGCGATGGAAGTATATTTGTTGGAATAGATTTGGGTTCAATTCCAGAACGTTCAGGTGCAACACTAATTCAAGTCGGCAGTGTACTGGATGATTATCAATGGCATGATTTAGCTATTATACGTTATACGAAAAATATTTCGGTAAAAATTGATCAAATAGTTGTACAGGCACAGTCACAAAGTGCATTTAATGGATTAGATCTCGATGGAAAAGTAAGAAAATTTATGTTTTATTTACTAATAAAGTTTACAAATAAAATTGAACGTTAAGATACATTAAAATAATTTATCGCGAAACAAACTTCTCGAATTAAACTCATGATACCAATAATTGTGTAGCGTTTTAATTTTTATATCGATTTAAGTTATAGTTGTCTGAAAACAAATAGAATTAGTTCCAGGAATTTGATTAAACCTTGTCTTTCCGATTAGTAGAGAAATACATTTTTATTTTTTCTAGCTTTATGTTGGTGGAGCACCTAATCATATGGAGCGCGGAATAAATGTACGACGAAATTTTCAAGGCTGCTTAGAAAATGTTCTCTATGTCAGCCCATCAACAAATTCTATTTTGGATATATTACAAAATTTAGAACGACAAAATCCATTCTATGGTCTTGAACAAGGAAGACTTAGCTCTGAAGCAATGTGTGAAGTACGTTTAAAAATATTTTTCTCAACGATTTTCATTATTATTTTTTATCAAAAAAGAATGTATAAACTAATAATAGCAACAATTTACTTTTTTAGATTTAGATCAAAATGTGAGGAAAATACGTATATAAATATTTTTTTAATTCATAATCCCAGCTGCTGTGCTCATGCATGATGAGAATATTGCCTTTTTTATGAGTTGTGCCCAAGCATGCTTATACACAATAATAATTGCCATTATTGTGATATAACAATTTATTCTTCTTTTAATCTTTAGGATGATTCAATGAATATGCATCCATATACATTCAAATCATTTGATTCTTATCTTGAAATATTTCGTAAACCGGGTGCAACATCTATTGATCTAAGTTTTCAAATGCGTACATTTGAACCAAATGGAATTTTATTTTATACAAACTTATCGGAACCAAGGTATTTAATAGTTGGTATCAACGACGTACCTGATCAAGATTTTTTACGAGTAAGACTCGATTGATGATAATAAAATAACTAGATCTATATTTGATTTCTTTTTCTTTTTTTCTGTAAAAGTTGTTTCTTGATGAAGGACAATTAGCTTGTACTCTACAATTAGGTGGAAACAAACGAACTGTTCGTCATCGTCGAGGTAAATTAGAATAGTTTTAGTTTTAGTTTTAATCAAACAGTTTCGTCTTTAGATAATTTAAATGATGGTCAATGGCATGAAATAAGTATTCTATTAACACAATTTCGTTTCAATATAACAGTTGATTATGAACCTGAATTATCGTTTACACGCAATAATTTATCAACAACTGATCGATTTACATTTAGTTCAAATGGTGATCAATTAAATCGCGAAACAACCATGAATGGTTTTGTTGGTTGTATAAGACAATTAGTTATGAGTGGAATACAAATATTACCAAGAGATTTAATAACAAATCTAACTCTTCTAAGACCAGATGCAAGTCGACCGAGAACAGGAACTGCTATTAATCACGGTGTACTTGTAGATGCTTGTGAAATGTTTGACCGTTGTACACCGAATCCATGTCGTCATGGTGGAGTTTGTCATCAAGTAAGACAACATAAAAGACTAGTCATCTCATTTGAACTAAAATAATAACAATTTACCATAAATCTTTGAAAAAAGATAATGTGGAGAATTTAAATCTATGTAAAATATTATGAGTATGATGTATCAATCATAGAACAATAAAAATATCATTTTCTAAAAGTCTTACCTTCACAAGATTATTATCATCATCATCATCATCATTGATAATATTAAGATAATAGTTGTTAGAAAGTAGTACACCAACTCATTCATCGTCTAATTTATTTTACATTGAAAATTATTCATAATACAAGAAAAAAAACTTTTGTTTTGTTTATTAGACTTGGTCAAGATTTCGTTGTGATTGTTCGAAAACAGGCTATAGTGGTGCTGTATGTCATATCAGTGATAATCCTTTATCGTGTCTTGATTTTAAATTAAATCGTATGAAATTCGATGATACTATTCCCGAACGGCCAACGATCATAGACATTGATGGTAGCGGTCCATTATCTCCATTTTCTGTTTTATGTCGTTATGGTAGTAAAACCGAAATTCTTAATGTAACAGAAATCGGTCATTATCATGAATTAGAAAGCTATGTATCAAGTGGTTATCAACTACCGAATTCAATTTATTCGCAAGCAATAAATTATCGTGTACCATTACCAGAAGTATTTGCTGTTATTGATCGTTCCTATGTGTGTAAACAATATATTGAATATACTTGTTTTAATTCACGTTTATTGAACTATCCAAATCCATATGGTTGGTGGATTGGCCGCACGAATCAAACAATGGACTATTGGGGTGGAAGTGAAGTTGGAACGGGAAAATGTTCATGTGGTTTAGATATGACATGTGCTAATCCGAATTTATTTTGTAACTGTGATTCACAAGCTGCAGTTGAGCTTAAAGATGCTGGATATTTAACAAGAAAGGAATTTCTACCTGTACTACGAGTTGAATTTGGTGATACCGGTAAATAAAGAATTTTCTTTTTCTAAATATTAATTTACTTTGAAATAATAAATATTTTAATGATGAATAGGACCAGCTGGTTCACCACAATATGGTCGATACCAAGTTGGTCGTCTTACATGTGAAGGTGATTTATTGTATGATAATACAATAACATTTCGAAAAGCTGATGCAATTATAACTGCACCACCATTTGAAGCTAAAGTAGCTGGTGACATACGTTTTCAATTTAAAACTGGTTTTGATTCAGCAACGTTCGGTTCCGCTATTGTCCTACAAAACGTTGGTTATGACGATGGCGATCTTATTGAAGTAAATGTTTCTATAGATTTGTGATTTTTAAAAACAGTTTTCCTTTGTTTTTAAGATTCGTCTTCAAGCACCACGTGAAATAGCTTTTCGATATAGTGTTGGTCGTGGTACAAATATTGTAACTATTCGTTCGCCATATGATTTTAATGATAATGAATGGCATACAGTACAAATTGAAATTAACCGACAAGAAGCACGTTTAACAGTTGATAGTTTATCAGCTGCTAATCCAGAAGATCAAACAACATTTCGTCATATACGTTTAACATCAAATTTAACTATCGGTGCATCGGTTACGAATCGGAATGGTTTTGTTGGTTGTATACGTGCATTTCAAGTTAATGGACAGCTGATTGATTTGAAATCTCAAGCATTGCGTGGCATGTATGGAATATCACCTGGATGTGTTGGCAAATGTCAAAGTAGTCCCTGTTTAAATGGTGGACGATGTAATGAACGTTGGTCAACGTATGATTGTGATTGTACGTTTACACCGTTTCGTGGACCTATCTGTTCAACAGAAATTGGAACACGATTAGAAGCAAATACTATGATTAAATATACTTTTCCAACTGAAGGTAAGTTAAAGGCATCCATTAGAGAAATGTCAACTAGATAATCAGAAAAAATTTTCAATTAACTTTGAATTTAGTTTACATAATATTTTAGAAATCAAAATTTCATAGAATATATCTGTATAGTATCTATTTTTATTTCAGGTGTCACTGCAACTGAAGAAGAAACTATTCGTGTTTTATTTACTACATATAAAAAACAAGGTATACTAATGCAGTTACAATCAGATAAATATGATGAAAAAGGGATGATCGATTATTTTACTCTTGAACTGAATAATAACGGTGGTGTACGTGTAAAATTTAATTATGGTTTTGATACATTTGAATATAATGTTCCATATGATTTAACAAATGGACAAGACCACGAAGTTATTGTAACACGTCGTGATTACGGTAAACGTATTATAATTAGTGTTGATAATTATGAGCCAGAAGTGGTTGTATTTACTCAAACACAACAAATTGATATGCAATTCGATAGTCCGCGTGTGATGTATATTGGAAGAAATGAATCAACACCACCAGAACAAGGTTTTAGTGGCTGTATTGCACGTTTACAATTCAATCGTATTTTCCCATTGAAATATGCCTTTTTAGAAGAACGTGATCCAAACATAACATTGACTGGTCGAACTATTCGGTAAGTTGTAAAACAAAAACTTAACGTGATAGAAACAAGAAACAAGAAACGAGATTATTTTTCAATATTAGGGAATGGCCATGTGGTACAGAGCCTGTGAAATATCTACCTGAACCTGTGGAAATTCCACCGGATCGTGGATTTTCAATACTTGGTTTGTTGATTTGTTTATTTTATTTTATGATGAAATTGCTAATTGTTTCTCTTTTTTTGTAGTATTACCTCGTCCAATATATTCACAAAATATCTACGCAATTAATTTGGGTATTACTTTAGGTGTAGCGGTTTCTGTTGTAATATTGATTGTTATTGGTGCTGGTTTATGTTATCATAAGTCGCGTAAAAGTGGACAATATAAAACAAAAGAAGATCAAGGCGCTGATCAAGCTATTGATGCTGATACAGCTATTATTAGAGGTGACCCACGTCATCCGGATTTAACTGAAGCAAAAGAATGGTATTTCTAAATTTTTTTGTTTTCCTTTTCGCAATCACTCATTAATAATGAGGTTAATCTGTATATATCATAACTGTTTTTTTTTATACGTGCACTTATTTTTGTACATAGTCATTTATTTAGACATCCGCTTTTTTTTATTGTATTCTTTATTTGTTGTTATTGTTTTTTGTTTACTATTATGCATTTTGCTTCGAAAATGATAATGTGTTAGCATCCATTTATTTGTTATGTGAAAAATAAAATAATAATTTACTTCTTAATATTTAAAAAAAGAGTCTCAACTACGGAAACTTTGTTTTTATTTAGTTATTTTAGAAATGGTTTCACTAATTGAGAATATCGATACGTCCAATGTGGATGATGCTGATGATTCTGATGCACCGATTGAAGTAACAACAAAAACATCAAAAGATGAAAAGAAAAAGAAAAAGAAAAAAAACAAAACAAAACGTCACATTCAATATACATTGGCAACTGAACAAGATGATCATCCGAATAAGAAACGTATAGATGAAGAATCTGCTCTTACACATTTGGTTTTTGGAGATGATGATGATTATCTTGGAGAAATCACATCGAAAGCAGAAACACACAAAAGAGTATTCAAAAACAAAATCCATCATATAGATGATAATATGAATTTAATTCGTATTTATTTATAGACTGATACGATTAAAACAGACATTGTAACAGTTGAATCGAAAAAACCCGCATGGATTGATACTGAAGAAGTAACCGAAGAAATGTTAGTAAAATTTGATATTTGAAATAATGAAACGATGAGTGTTTTATTTTTTAAATATTTAGTGTTCGTGAACCAAATTTTAATCAAATTTGCCCACGAAAACGTCAAAAAATTACAACAGGAGAATATGAAAAAAAACTTAAATTTGAGTAAATTTTTTTGAATATTACTGAAACTATCAAAGTCAGTTTCGTTCTGTTTTTTCTAGATATGAACGTGTTATGGGTCGACCAGCATGGGCAGAGAAATTATTAAATAAAAACAATGAAGAAGGTAATCGATTGATTTAATTTCAAATAGAAATAGAAAAACATATTTTACTTCAAACATGTTTTTCTTTTTTTTAGAAGATAGCGACGAAGAATTATTTCGTCGTACTGGGAATTATCTCACAAAGTCAACTGTTTTACGAGCTGGAACAATTGATTGTCTCCGTTGTGCTGATTTTAAACATGATGTTGCTCATTCTGTATGTTCTATTTTCGATAGATTATGGTAGAATTATGAAGATTTTCTGTTTAGAAACTTCTACGTTCGGTTGAATTTCATCCATCTGCTCGAATACTTCTTACAGCTGGACGAAGTCAATATTTGAATTTATATCAAGTAATAATTTACTAAAGAATTCATTTTCTAATCTATGAAAAAGAAATGAGGAGCAATTCGATGGTAGAATTACCATGACAGTGGTATTAGAATAATTCTATGAGGTTCTATTGTGATTATTCATATCTGATGAACTCTAATGATTTCTGATTCATCTTGAATGTTACACGTGAATCATTGTATACTATACAAACTTTTGCCAAACAGTTGCTAGTACGGCCATCAAAAAGCAATAATCATACGGACACGTCATTTTTGGTTCATTATTTTCAGCAAAATACTTAAGTCTGCCTAGGAGCTAAAACTTAACGCAATGACCTCATTAAATACAATTATTTCAGTTACTATTAAGAAAAAACAGTGTATCTCTACTAATTTACAATAAGTAGAGATACACAGATAACTGAAATCAAAGGATAAAAAGTTGAAATTTCGTATACTAGAATGTTGTTGCAACGACGATATGCATATTTTGGAAAGAACTCTATTTCTGGAACCGTACGACATATTGTTTATTTAGGTTGATGGAAAGAAAAATGAACGTATTCAATCACTTTTTTTCGAACGATTTTCGATTGATACAACACATTTTACTCAAGATGGTAATCAAGTAATAGTTACCGGTGATCGAAATTTTTTTAAGGTCTATGATATGATCGAAGGCAAAATCATGCAAATACCAATGATGAGAGGTAAATAGATTTAATAAAGAAATGTAATTTAATAAACTTTAGTATTCATTAGGATTTGAAGAACGTTTGGGAAAATTCGAATTGAGTCCCGATGGATCTTTAATTGTATTTATTAATCGAAATGGTCAATTACATTTTGTATCGGCAAAGGTATATCTACCATTGAGCATTGCTGTTTTAATTAAAGTAATATCGTATAAATTTTGTTTTTAGTCCAAAGAATTAATTGATACTACTCAAATTTCTGGGAATATTAATAGTATAACATTTCGACATGACAGTGAACTGATGTTTGTCGCTGGAGGTAAAATTTCTTGTTTGTTGTTCTTTCTTAATCGAAAGACTAGGGACCTTTTTCTTGATTTTTTTTTCTCAGATGAAGGTATAGTCACAGTTTTTGATGTTCGTCGACGAGCAGCTATACATCGTTTTGTTGACGATGGCAGTTTTTCAACAACGAGTATGTGTGTTTCACCAAATCAACAATATTTTATTACAGGGTAAATATGATTTCAATCGATAATTTTTAGTTTTGTTCACTGAATTGTTTTTTTTTTCAGTCAAAAAAGTGGCATTGTTAATGTGTATTCCTATGATGATGTATTGAAGAGCGGTGAACCAAAACCTATAAAATATTTGAAAAACTTAACCACACCAATACAAAATGTGAAAATCAACTCCAGTTCAGAATTATTAGCAATCAACTCGTATCATTTATCACGAGCTATACGATTGGTAGGAGAAAATAAAAATTTTGCACATTCTTCCGACAAAAAGAAAATAATTTAATTTTAATTTACGTTCCAGGTTCATATGCCAACATTAACTGTTTATGACAATTTTCCAGAATTTCACGATAAAAAAATTCAGATTGTTAATACATTGGATTTTTCACCAAACAGTGGTTTTCTAACGATGGGCAACAATAATGGTAAAGTGCTTTTGTATCGACTCAAGCATTATACTAATTATTAATACTAATTATGATTATTATGATTATTATTGTTATTGTTTTGCTCTTTGTTAAAATAAAATAAAAAAACGTATGGTAATCGATATGTTTAACATTATCAAGCATATCTTTAAACACTAAAAATCTAAAATTAGTCATCCCTTGAAAACTGTAATTTTGACAATAATCAATAACTTTTGTGATTTGTAAACTGATCCATTAACATTTCTTGAGATCTGAACCCAATTTAGAGAAATGTTTGAAATTCTGATTTCGCTTATAGCATCTTTAATTAAGTTTTGTATTTAACGATTGGTAGACAATAGATTGTCCATCATTGAGCGTCTCGGTATTAATTTTTCCAGGCTAATAATTTTAGAGGAATTAATCAATCAATCAAAAAATGGACTCTATAGAAGTCAAACTTTAATAGATTTAAGCTAGAGTACTATCTAGTGATATAAAAATTCGTCAACAAATAACTATTTTCCATAGGATTTATGTGTATGTGCGCGTTGACAAGATTATAGAAAGCCGCTTTAAATGAAATGAATTCTATGCTGTACACAATAGTCATGAGATTGTAAGCCACGCTGAGTCAAAACGTAATTTTAAATTCAATATAAAATATTGTTCCGAAGCTTCCTGAAGGTGATACTATCATTATATTACAGGTCTTAGAGACTGGATTGTATAAATATGTTTGCTGATTATCACTGATGTTTTGATGTAGTTTAGTAAAGATTCTTATGAAGATATGTATAGGATAGAATTAATTCCATTCAAATAGACTTGCAATAAGCTTTGTCAGAAATAGAAACATAGGTTCTAGAAAAAAAGTATAATTTTTGTGCATTTTGTAATTGCTCTTCTGGAGCCAATCAACAATAGCCAAGGATAAGTTTTTGCGCAGCGATGCAATGTTTGATATCTAGTTGAATTCTATGCAAGTTTGTCTTCTATGAAGTCTATTTGGGGGAGGGTGTGTGCGTGACGACAGCAACGTCACTGATCTTGCCTTGATGTTTGTTATATCGTGTATGTCTATTTCTCCTCTGTGTTGTTCTCCTTTGTTGCTTATTATCGCGCTGGTTATTTTCAACATTGGGATCTTTTTCATTTTTCGTGCTTAGACTCAGAAAATGAGATATATAATTACTCTCTTTTTCTCTTCTCGTTTCTTAGAAGTTTCTTGATATATCTCTCTTCACTGAGATATATACTAATTCTTTTTTTTTTCTTCTCTGACTACTACTTTTTTTCTCCGTCAAAAAGAATCATCTTTTTGATCAATTACATATTACCTTTTTCTTTTCAACTTGATTGTTCTTTACAATCAATCTAACTCGATTGCCCCTTACAGTCGTTCGAACTCGTGTCAGTTATTTGCTTGTGGAGTTCTTCTTATTCTCAACTATTTCTGTTCATTGAATAAATAATTGGATCTTCATCCAATATTCAATACTATTTTATTTTCATTGCTGTCATTCTGCCATAACCAATACTGCGGCACCTGGCATTATTATTAGTTGTGTCTCTGATCCTCATCAAGGCGTTACAGGGAGAAGTCTACTAAGGGATAGGAACTCGTTGAGAACCTGAAATTACCACTCGAGTATTTGTTGAATTAGATCATCATCATATAGTCAAAACGGCAAGAGTGTGACATGATTTTTATCATGAGATATGTCTATGCATAAAAGACAAAAAATGATAATATTTTCGAACGATTTACTCGTGTTAAGTCGTATTTGTATGAGAAATAGATAAAATTGACATGTAAACATTGTAAAATCCGACGACTCTTTTGTAGGAAGTCAAACCGTAGCAGACTTGGAGTGACTCGTATGCACACTGTATAAGATAATAAAGGTAAAACAAAATACATAAGATACATCAGTTCACAAGCAATACTGATTATATTACGGAACTGTCTTAAAAAAACATCTACCAAACAAAAAAGACTGATTTTTTCNCATTCTGCCATAACCAATACTGTGGCACCTGGTATTATTATTAGTTGTGTCTCTGATCCTCATCAAGGCGTTACAGGGAGAAGTCTACTAAGGGATAGGAACTCGTTGGGAACCTGAAATTACCACTCGAGTATTTGTTGAATTAGATCATCATCATATAGTCAAAACGGCAAAAGTGTGACATGATTTTTATCATGAGATATGTCTATGCATAAAAGACAAAAAATGATAATATTTTCGAACGATTTACTCGTGTGAAGTCGTATTTGTATGAGAAATAGATAAAATTGACATGTAAACATTGTAAAATCCGACGACTCTTTTGTAGGAAGTCAAACCGTAGCAGACTTGGAGTGACTCGTATGCACACTGCATAAGATAATAAAGGTAAAACAAAATACATAAGATACATCAGTTCACAAGCAATACTGATTATATTACGGAACTGTCTTAAAAAAACATCTACCAAACAAAAAAGACTGATTTTTTCATCTTGTTTTGGCTAAAACAGGTAAGTCGTTTGAAATGAAAGACTTGTAGAGACCAAGTTTTAGGTTAGTGTTCAAGAGTAGAATGCTTTTTAAAGGGGTGATTTCTTGTTGAAGATAGTAGAAGAGTTGAGCTTCTACAGATTTTCTAGTAGCCAAGGATTTTTCTGTAGCCGTTGCTAGACTAAGCCAATCTTCATAGTTTATTTTTAAAGAATAAAACTTTCTGATTGTTTCCAAATTATTTTTGATTGAAATCTAAAAAAATCCACATTTTCTCTTTCTCTTGAGCAGATACTTATTCAATATGAATTCTATGACTACTTCTTACATCACAACAGGGACGAGAACGTTTTTCGAAATTCGTTTTTGTAGAGTGATCTCCAGTTGATCGGCAAAATATGAATACAAGTGTCATTAATCATTTACCCTAGTTCGTCATAAGTATTCTTGGTGAAAAAATAAAATATGCAATTTTGGATCGCTGTTAAGAGTGTTGCGTTGAATATAACTGCGAAATTTCTCTCATCGGAACACAAAATGTAGCATTGCCGTGCGTCATTGAAAAAAGACATTAACTTATTTGATTAAATTGCAATGACGATACTCAGATTCTTCTTTGTAAGGGTAACTTTTATGCGTATACAGAATATAAGATTTAATGCTAATTATATATTGGTCATTGTATTAAATAATTACTGTTGCTATTCAGACTGCTACATGTTTAAGATTGTTACACTTTACTAAGTACTTATAAATTTTCTATTCAAAAAAAAAAAAAAAAATATATATATATAGAGCAGTGCTATCTTTTATTTTTCTGAGTACTTTGTATATAAGTTAGCTTTGCTTAGATTAGAGTAGATGTTTTTGAAAAAATAGATGCAGTTGTAGCTAAATGTCTTTCAGAAAAGTAAAAATTATAATAATTGAGAATCTCAAGATACTTCGAAAAGAAAAGAACCAATTAGAGTATGTACAACAAAATCTATGCAGAAAATAAATTAGTCGAGAACAAATCTATTTTTCTGCAAATATAAATGAATCCCATGGGATTTAATTATTAATTCACATTAAAGTCTTGAAAAAAAAAACTAACGACCATAAAATCTATGCCATGACTATTTAAAAGAAAAACTAATCGTGCCTGTAACTTCATGGTGCAAATCCAAATGTGCCAAAGGAGCAGTAGAAATTCTTCTAAATGCAAAATAATCATAGTCTGAAGTTCAATATTATGTTCCTTTTAATATATAAAATATCCTATTGAAATTTTGAAATCTTTATGATGGTTCCCTAATATCTTGAGGCACTCAATTGTAACATTAGTTTTTGTCAACGGCAAAAGGTTACATCAATCATAGAAAATATTGAGAAAACTGATCTCAGGACAACAATAACAGTGAGCGAGACGGTTAACAGTGGTTTTCTATAATTTTCCTCCATAGAATTTTTGATCCTATATAGTTCTAGAGCAAATTGATCATTGGCAGACGCTTAATAGCCACCAAATGTTATGATATTATATACAGCCGACAACGGCATGAAAAATTAATACTCGACCTTTTACGATTTTTTCCGACACAGTGAAATATAGTTTGAATACTGTGCCTACTGACAAATAGGAATAACTATTTAGAGTAACATCGCTTGTTTGACGTAGAATAGTTTATATAATGCGACGTTTTTTTTTTCTATGGAAAATAAATATCAATTCTTCAAAGTCATCTTAAAGACTACTGGAGACAAATAATAGTGTGCTCTAATTACATTTATTTTTACAGTGCTCGCAACTCCTCCTTAAGCTAAATACTTGCTGAATTTTTAAGGCGTTCGGGCATCTTGGCCTAGAATAAAAAAAAGAAAATTGACTGAAAATATGAAAAAAATTTAACTGATGAATGCTAACACTTCAAGATAAAAATTTATTACAATTACATAAACTGGATAATGAAGTTCTACCTAATAGCAGCTTACTTAGTGATACAGAGCAGTAGATAAATCGAATATAACTAATATATTTAAATCTTTTTTCAAAAATTCTTTTAGTTTCTAAAAATTTACAAGTGAAAAAGAAGAAAATTACGATTAATTGCATTCTGAATTGTTGGTAATGTTTCCTTTCCAGTGGCATGTTATCTTCTTCTTGTTCTTCCTTTCTTTCTTCTTTCTCTCTAATTTATATAGACAAGAATTTAGAAACAATAACGCTAGAACATGACCTATGCAGCAGAAGATTTAAAAAACAACGTTTATTTTTCTGCATCCGCTGCAAGAGAAAACCAGAATTTATCTACAATTATTTTGATGGATAGGTGACCCGATTCATTTACATTTACATGGATGATTACAAGATTTCTAAGAAGAGAAGATGTCAAACATCTATGTAATATCTAAACGTAAAGCTTAATACAAACGAGCATTGATTAACATAGTTAAACATTTTAGTGACACATTTTTCTGCAATTTTTAAATTGAGATAATCATTTGGCCATATCTTGATGAAAACAAATAGAAATCAGAGTATTTCATATTTAATTAAGTTGCTTCGTGAAGAGT